CTCCTCCAATAGTGCATGTTGATCCATCAGCAGTAGTAGCACGAGTAACACTAGAACATCTGACCCTATGTCCCAATATTTCTAACATTCTTCGAGTTTTATCTCCTATCAAAGTCCTATTAGCTCCTGAATCCAATAAACCCATTATATTTGAACCACCAATATTCACATGAAGATATGGCCTGACATCTCCTTCTTTGAAGGTTAATAAGGAGGTAATATTTACAGAACCATTGCCTAACATTCTATCCGGACTTAATCGATCTTGGTTTTGACTTTTGCGGAACGGTTGCCGGACACATGACGTTCCGCATGAGAGTTTTCCGACTCAGACGGGGTTGTTTTTGGTTGGCAGGAAGGGCATTTTGATTTTATAGTGTTTTCTTTGCCACAACCATAGCAAAATATTGTCTTTGGCTTAAAGCAATCAGCAAAAACGTGTCCTGGTTTTCGACAATTCCAGCAGGTGTATGAAGATTTTGACCGACTTGATTGATGCTTGGTTTTGTTCGGAGAGACGTTGGATGACTCCACAGTTGATATTTTTATATTATCTTTCCTCACTCTAGGCTTATATGCAAGGTCAGGTTCGAGAAGACTTCGTTGTGGTTTCATGTCATAGCGTTGAGCTCTAAGTCGACCTTTCTCAAGACTACGTAGAACAATCTCTAACTCATCAATATTTTTAACATTTTGCAAACAAAGTGCAGACTGATATTCTGGAAGTACGTTTTCTTCAATAATATCCAACATGTCTCCCTCAGATTTTGGCCTAGTCAAGCGACCAAACAAGCTACGCATCTTGGCAATGTAGACTGTCACAGTTTCTTCGGATCCTTGTTTTCTATTTTCAATTTCTCGCATTAGTCTTCTGTCATAGTCAGGATCTTGAAATGCATATAATAATTTTGTTTCAAGACCTTGCCAGTCCTCAATTCTTCCTCTACAAGACCTATAGACTGCTAAGGCAGAACCAGTAAAAAGTTCACCGGCAGCATTGAATAGTTCTCTGAAAGTCATATGATTTGCAACACGTTTATCCTCAACATCAGCCAGGAATGCACCAACACTATTGTTGTCATCTCCTGAAAATTTTAAGTTCCACAACCTAACAGGAGTTCTCTTTAGCATGATTTTTCTTGAATTAAAAGCATGATCTTCATCTGAAATTTCAGTAGACGATGATGACGAAGATGATTCTTTGTAGTGGCGAGACTTCTTCTTCTTCTTCTTCTTACTCTTCTTAGTTTTGTTCTTCAGCGGCTTGTAGTCAGCTTCTTCTTCACTGGAGAATTCAGTATCCGATGTAGTTGGTCGGCTATTCTTCTTTCCTCCACTCTTTGCTTTCATTTGAAAATTCTCATTTATCTTCTTATTTACTTCCAAAACTTTTGATTTTAATTTATGTGATGCACTCGCTCCATTTTCTTCATCCGATGAAGCATTAGTTTGAAAACCAACTAATGTGTTGCGCCCATCAACCTTATTTGAGCTCATAGATTCCATATCTCCACTCTCATTGGCAGAATCTGTCTTTTCAGAATCACTTTTAATATCCTGTAGTGATTGGCCAACAACTTTTTCAAATCTCCTTATGATATCTTTTATATCGCGGCTCAGTTTCTGACCCTCAGCCTTATAACAGTTACCTATTCTTTCAATTCTCTGATACGTGTGAAAAATCACAGCCTCTAATCTTCGCTTCAACTTAGGTACATCAGTACCCTCCAATGGTAAAATGAGAAGATTCAACATTTCAGTAAGTTTGCCTATTTTTTCTCGGCAGGCTTCAACTTCATGCTCATCATCAGTTGCTACAGGGATAGCAGAAATTCCAGACTTTTCCTTCTTCAAAAATCTCCTTAACTTCTTCCTTAAATCCTCCATCCTAATTCCAGAATGATCCTTAAAGCTCCTAACATCCAGTTCATGTTCAAGTTCACCCCTATCCAAGTGGTTGATATGAGAAGACTTGTAGATCATTTTGAAAATTTCAAATAAATGGCAATATTCAAGTAAATGACCAAAAACACATATAAATGGGACAAAATATCATAAAGAAGCAATAAACACACTATTAGGGCTGAAAACAACAATATTTACTCCTATAAATAATACAAAATACTTCCCAAGTAGTTCCTGAAAATGTAGACCTCCAATAAATATAGGCTAAGTCATTACAAGATTCATAAAATAATCAACGTTCAGTTAGGTCCAATATATTTTCAATCAATGTTCAGTTAGGCCTAATATATTTGCAATCAATGTTCAGTTAGGCCTAATATATTTTCAATCAATAGTTAGGCCTAATATATTTTCAATCAATAGTTAGGCCTAATATATTTTCAAGTATGATCTACAAGTCTTAAATAAAAATAATAACAAATAATAAAAAAAAAATAAAATAAAATAATAATAAAATATATAATAAAAAAAATATAAAAAAAAAATATAAAAAATATAATAAAATATATAATAAAATATATAAAATATAATAAAATAATAAAAATAATAAAATAATAATTCCACGTTGGGCGCCATTTTTATTGTTACAGACCTAAATTCAGTTATCTTAAAATATTCTTGCCTCGGTTTGTTCAGGTCGGAGGAGGGGGGGGGGAGTAAGAGAAAACAAAGGTTAGGTTGGATACAATGTATAATATGCAGTTTGAGATTATAAACCCTACAAAATAATTAAATAAAATACCCTTGGAACAATTTATAAAGTTATATCCGACTACCACAGAGAAAACTTAATTAAAATTTATAATATACAAAAGTTCTCCGGCTGTACTGTAGACACCTATTTACACAATTTACTCCACAAAATCCAATAGTCTGTGGCACTATGCAGGGACGCTGAAGTGAGATCGCACAGCAATAAATAAAAGTATAAGTCTGTCTACCTTGGTTTGATGATCTAGGAAGTCCTTGGGTTAACTCGTTACCAGTTTGGGTTATAATTATTGAATCCAACTCGTATTAGTGCATTTCAGCTTCATTTACATGAATAGAGCGAGACATGAGATCCTTTGTAGGCTATACTGTACATAAGAAGCCTGAAATAACCCATGATATAAATAACAAGTGTCTTATTATTGATTATTTCATTGTAGATAAGCATTTTAATCAAATATTTTTTTGATAAGTAAACAATGCAACTCAAGAGCTTTTTGTGAATAACATTTGAGACATTTCATTACTTTATTTTAATGAGACCTTATTTACTTTTAAACATAAATCAAGAATTCATTATACTTTTTTTTTTTATGGATGACCTTACAAAATAGCTCTTTTTTTTTAGAAAGGAATATATACAGCTTTACAACAAAAAGGTATTACCGCCTAATTAAAAATACAAGTTTACAAGGTTAATCAATTTTCAAGGATAAATATACAACAATTAAATAATACCGGTAATACAACATTAAATTGAACCATACAATGTACATACCTGATCAATGTGCCTGGTAAAATAAACAAATTAATTTTTACTGTACAAAACAATTAAACACATGATAAAACAATTAAACACTAGAATTAATTTATACATTTTTGTCTTTGAAAAAAGAAGAGCAAATTATTCATTGCAAAATCAACTTTCAGGATATATACCTTTGTTTCTAAACAATCAAGTAAATATAATTTCTCAAGTTACAAAAACAATTTATGAAAATGTTGTAACTTCATACTTGTAACTTTACCAACAGGTTTTAGTTTGTCCAAATCTAACATGTCTGTACAGTTCAATTTGGCAGTTTGAAATCAAATTTACAAATTATTTAAATCACTTGAAACTACAAATTTCTTGAAAACACCTTAAATCTAATAAAATAATACATGGAATAAACTTACCCTAAGGCTTCAGCAATATTTTTTTATGTTATTCAGTAAGTTAAGATAATCCTGTATGAAAATGATTGTAACAAAACTCAGATTTTGTCAATTATAATATTAATAGACAAATTTAACTGCACTGTACTCCGAACCAAAATATGTGAACTAATACTGACTAAATAACAAATCTTCAATAATTATTGGACATAAATCCCCACAACGGGCAAGTAAAACTATGATCCAACAAGTAAATATCCTGCTACTCAGAATTCAGAGTTAGAACTAGACACAGAATGGAAGAGTACAGAAGGGGTTTGGGGGGAGGGGAAAGGGGAGAGGTATTGTAGCTGATCGGACATGAAAGAGATAAGGAATGCACCTGAAATCCAAGGTCTCTTTGTCTATCTTTCCTGTTTCCAACATATTTTCCTAAATTCAAGCTGGTTGAAATTTCTCTCCAAATAATACGTAGCTAAATAAATATATTTTTGTATTTTTCTTGTTTATATATTTTTTTTTGTATTTTCTTCCAATAAAATAAAATGTCACACACGGACGTATAATTTGTAAAAAAACTCTTCTAGCGTAGTACAAACTAGAACAATTATATTATTTTAAAGGTACCAGCTGTTGTATCCGTGCTAAATGGGGAAAAGACATTGAAATAAAAATTTAGTTGCTTAAATCTTCTGAATAAAATAGGTAGCCTACGCAATCAACTTAAGAATTAAAACTGAACTGTACGTCTTATTGTTTGATAAAAAGTCTTTCTTTTAACTAGCCTAACTTATGTGGCAACCTTTTTATTGGTTAACCTGGTACTTTTAACCTCGCCTAACTTATGTGGCCTACAAATTATTAGAGGCGATGATGAAAGTATGAAAATAATGTACCGCTAAACAATTTAATTTTTCAAAGTTACGCTAGTGTAAACTTTTCTTTAGTTGAAAAACCTACTAAAATTTTAATTCAATAGGTGAAAAAGAATTGTACTTAACGTATCATAACTTTCTGTGCTGAAGCTCTACAGTAGTTGATATTGATGCCGCAGAAAATAGGTGTTTTACCCAAACTCTTAGATTTTTGTCATTAATTTTATCTAAAATCTAAACCAATAGGCCCTACTTCTTTAAAATTGCCACTCATTTGGTTCACATGATTACCTGGCTGCATAACCCCTGTTCTTCAGAGTACGCCTCCTTTGTTTCATGCGCACAATCTCATCTCGTGTCAGCCCTCGGAGCTTCAGTTGGCGGTTCAGATCTCGAACAGAGATCGTGACTAGCTCATCGTCACTTATGTCTACCACAGGACTTGGCGATAGTGGAGCCTGTAATGGAATAAAATTTAAAAGAATTAGGACCTAATCATATTTCAAAGGTAGCAGGGAAATCATTAAGTGACAATTTAACTTGTATTAAGTTTAAGCCAAACTCAAATTTATTGGATAAATTCTAAAAACACCATCATTATGGCAGGGTATTTAAAGAGTAGGCTACTAACAAACAATAATAGTATCTCTGGTACCTTCGTCAAATTAAAAATGAGTTTAGTTTAGTTAAGTTATTTATTGCCATTGAATTATGGTAGGCAGCCTGTTGCCTACGTAGATCTTAGATCAACTGATTAGTAAGCTAACTTATTAGGAAGACATTGAGGAGATGTTGAAATTACGTAGGCCTATAAATAAAAGATAGATTACAATTTGTTAGTGTTACTTGGTAAAATTTTGATTTTAGCGAATTTCTCTAAAGGAAGGTAAGTAAGCAATTTTGATATCATAACTTACATTAAGGTCATTAATTTACAGCACATTGCAGCAGGTGATCTGTATGTAGCCTAGTTCCTAATTGCGATACAATTCAAACAATAATTGACTAGTCATGTTTTGGGATAGTGATTCCATTCCCATTGGCCCTAGTTAAAGGTTAGTTTGTTGAGGGAAGTAATGCACTTGTACTTGTAAGTTACCGCTTCTCACAGAGTCACTTTAGTCAGTCACTCAGTCCTTAATTAGTTGTTTTTGCAATGAGTTGATGCATTTTGCTCAGGGATTAGCCTCACACAGAGAAGTACAGTTTCTTAACTGGGCTACGTTACTATCGACTGAAAATATCGATTCAATTAGTAAACTTTCATTTGATTTTTTCATTACTAGCAAGTTTGGTTAGTTAGGTTAGGTTATTACAGTTTCATTTTATAATTGATATAGGCTAGTTAAAAACATTTGAATATTGCATAGGCCTAGACTAAGCAACACAAGTAGACTCCTCATCCCATTATTGTTTATGATGTTGTTTGTTTATGATCAGTTATTGTTTATGATTAGGCCGTTTTATTTGGCTAAACGAGGTTTTAAATGACTGAAATAACAAGAAACAAATTGTAAACAAAACACAACCTCTACAGTTAGACGTACAGAACTAACAATAAAATTGGCTTCAGCTGTTCCATAAGGATGACAAATCTTACTAAGGGAGTATGTTTTATCTATGATGAAGGTTTACTAAACTTAACTTAATTGAATTGATATTCTCAATCTATGATAGCGTAGCCCAGTTAAGAAACTGTACCCGGAAAGGGTCCAAATATTTCAAAAGTTACCGGTATTTAATGCCTGCAACATCACTGTATGACACTCTAAGGAAACATCCATTCAACACCATCTTCACTAACGTCGCTATTTAATGAGAGGCACAGGAAAAATAATTCCTTTGGGTCACAACTAAGTAGGTAACAAACATCTTAATTAGGGGCTTAAGTATAGTGTGTAGGTAGGCTACCTTACATTTTTTCGAACCTCAATTAAAGAAGACTCAATTGGGAAAACATAGCGATGCCAACCCATCGAAAAACAAACTTAGTCAAGGTTATATCTTTACAGAGATAGCTTGTAGTAGTTTTTAATATTCATCGTTATTGGTAAGCCTAGGCATAAACCCTAGTAAGGTAATCATTGTAGTTATAACCTTAGTACAAAATTGTGATATGCGTTGCTCAGGCATAACAATATATTTAGGTCTCTTATATCATAGACTGTTGATGATTTATAACTACGGTTAGTAGTGTGTCAAGGTAAATTAATCACGTAGGAATGAAAAGTCTTCAGTAGCGACATAGGGCTTGGTATAAAAACATAACCTACTTAACACTTACAAGTGTATGTTTCCTTTCCCCACGCTTGTTTTCCGGAGCCATCGTTAAAATTCGAGAAAGAAACTAAGTATTCCAAATACGAATAACAATGGTTGAGCACAGCTTGTCGACTGGATTAGGGCAAAATTTGCAAGTCATTCTCTACGTCAGCTTCTAGGCTAGGATTGTTTTGTTGTTTCGTTCCGAGCAAGCAGAAGGCAGATGCAAAAGCAGGGGGAAAGGGGAAAGGGACTAGGGAGGGGAGACTGACAGAATCATGATGACATAATAAGAAGAAGAAGAAGTTAAAGTTTCATGCAGCGCCAGGGATAATATTCGCTTCACAAACTTTTGCACCTGGTTATCTACTATCGAAAATGTCGATTTTGAAATCGCACATATAGCAACGATAATCGATTAAAATCTCCCTCTAGGCTCTTTGGGGATGGATGGATGGATGTATTAACTTGTTACCATTCAAATTATGTAGTAAAACTTGACATGGAAATATCATTTTAATTTTTTTTATTTATTATTCATTGGCCTTGGTCATTGACTCTCTAACAGAGGAAATAGATTGTGTGTTGGTTAGTCTATGATTGTGTCTAGTAAAAAACAAAAAATGACACGCACACATAAATTGAAACTGTACATTTACATGGTAGGCAGGCAGCAGAATGTACGAAAAAATTAAAACTGTCCCAGATCCTAAGATTGTCCTTAAAGAAATCCACTACTTTGTAGTATGGTCTTTTAATTATCAAGTCTTTCAAAGCAGTTTTGATCTTCCGGTCGTCCTCGTCCAGACATCAAATACTGAAAGGGAGTCTGTTGAAAAACTTGATGGCTGACGTGGGAAAGGAATTGAACGTTCTGCTCAATCTTGCACGGGGGTCATCAAGATTCTACCTGGCTCTGTATTATAGGTGTGGATGAGACTTCTGGTATTGAGAAGTTAGTGGAACACAAGCACTTGATTTCAATCAAGCAGGCGTAGATGTAGTGGCTGCAAACGGTGAGAATTCCAAGTCTCTTGAAATCGGTTTGCAGAGTTTTTTTAAAAGGACTCCTTGGGATGATACGAAATGCCGCTTTTTGAAGCTGTAATACTTATTCGTCCACTTCAGACGCATTTGGCCCCAAAGGCAAGGTGCATTCCATACGCAATGTGCGAACGGAACAGGGCATGGTATACTATCAGCAGTGTACTTCTCAGTGACTCATTTCCGGAGGCGCCTCAGAAGACAGTGTCACTAAGTATGTAAGGCAAGCCGTGTGACAACATGGACTGCAGCGTGGTCGTTCCAGTCTATTCGGCTGTCAAGCTGAAAACCAAGGGGTGTTACTGTTGCCATGTCGTCTGAGGAGTCTTTTGAGAGGATACAAAGGAACGATATACTGTGTTTCATCCCATTCAGTTGCAGCTCATTAATCTGGAACCACGCGTTCTTGGACCTGTATTGGATTGTATATTTAAATCCTTAGTGTGGTGTAGGTTTGGCCCTCTTAGTGAAAAGAGTGGTACCTATAATCCGCGACCGCAAATAATATGGAGCTGCTGGTCTCGTCGGTGTTATTGATGAGGACCATGAATAGAAGAGGGCCCATCACAGATCCTTGAGTAACCCCTTACGGTTTACCTCCATAAAGAGCTTGCGCCTTCGAGTGTTACTTTCTGAGTTCTGTTGGCTAGGTAGATCTTGAAGGTGGGGAGAACCACACTACCAACGCCATATCTGCTAAGAGTACGCAGTAAAAAGCTCTGCTGAGGTCTCAGAGCTTGAGCTTTACAACATTTCAATTCTTTCATCTAGTGTACTTAAATTATCAAAGAAAAGAGAGCGGTATCCGATCCGTAATTTATCTAGAAATGAATTCTCGATTCTTGCAATCCGCAGTTTATATAACTACTTTAGGGTACACGCCTCAATTAAATTCAATTACAGGTTTGCACTATAATACAAGTTTTAAACAAGCATATTTATTGTAAAACACCAATGGTTTGTTACTGTTGACTATTGATGGTGACAAGGACTTGTTCAACCTAGATTATTAGATTATTTTCAGCTAAAACCATGTCACAATATGAGAAATTTGATAATAGCAGCCACAGCACATATTCTGTGATAATATTTTTCGGATGATTCAAATAGTGTGCACATTGAAGGTATCTGGACTTGTTATTGTTTGCCGCTTCTCTACGAACAAAAGAGTATTATTAGCGACATGAGTAACCGAGGGACGAAGGTTTGAGAAGTCCGGACTAACCATCAACCGGGTAGAGTTGCCGATACCAACATTCAATTAATTATGTCTCCATAACTTTATCTTTATCATTGATTATTAAATGTCAGATTGAAAAGTTATTTTTGTTGTTGTATGTCAGTCATAAGTCAGCAGTTCGAAGGTATTGTTTACAGCCTATGTTCCAACTGATCACTGAGTGAGCTGTCTAAATACTATAGAGTTACAGTATATGAAAAATATTGATATTTTAAAATAAATGGTAGTAGTTAGATGGTCAAATTTGTGTAAAAAATATTTATATTTATAATATTTATAATTTTAAATGTAGTCTTCATGAGAAGTGAATAAGTGTTTGCATTTGAGGGTTTTACAGCAGATGGAAAGGACAAGTTACAAAGAATGAGTTATTAGCAATCTACATAAATGATTCGGTCCAGTAAGAGGTGACACACTTTGGCCAGGACATGAGAGCAGTTGGAACAGCAAGTTCTTATGGGCGTTTTACTGTAAAATGTAGGTACCTTTAGAAAGAATTAAGAAATGACCTGCTTAATTGAAGGTGATTACATCAAGGTTAATTATGAATTAAAATACACTTGTTACCAACTAAGTATTATTAACTTATATCGCAAACGTCTCTAGAGTCTAGTGCATAACCAGTTTATTGTATCGGTGTGAATGAGATACTGTTATGTTTGGAGACTCGCGATTGTATCAAAGTGTTTATCAAACTGCTTACAGGACTTTTATTGTTTGCCGCTTCTCTAATAAAGATAGCCCTCGCTATAAATGCCTTCAAAACAACCAGTTATCGATAATCTACTTGTTTACTTCACTTGCCAAACAATTTATTTCAAATTCTATGCCGTTGTTTACAACCTATCTGAATCTGAATCATCGCAAGTTCGTAATAATACACATAAAGAAGATTGCAATACAATTTGTTTTTTTTTTTTACTATAGTTACTACAAGAGAATGACAAAAGAGTAGGTTAGTCACGTACTGATGTACGTCACATTCTTCCTGTTAGTTCAAAAACTAAAACTAAACCGTTTTAAGGTACCAATTGTAAAGTTTAACGTCATGCATTCAATTAATTTGCTCAAAATCCACTGACTTATAAAATATAAATTCCAAATTTGAAATAGGTACATTTTATGATGTTTCTGTCAATTCAGCAAATCTTAACATTCTGAAATTACACTGTACTGTATTTTGAACACGTCAAATTCCCTAAAATAACCTAAAGTATTTACATTTATTACATAACTTATCTCAGGCAATTTCTCTCACGCACACATCAACACCTGTACGCAATACAGACTGGAAATAGCATCCTCACATCCTAAACTTTCATGTCGTAAAAGTCTTAGCTTCATAAAGTGTCCTGAGAATAGGCGGGAGTGGCTTTCATGATGAAAAGACAATGAAACGGCAACTGGTGAGGAAACTTTGGGTTGGTCTGGAACGAAACGTTGGTTACATGGTCCAACAATGTGTGTAGGGGGGGTAACACTGGTGGTGGGGGGAACTGACAACAATGCTTGCGAGAGAGAGAGAGAGAGAGAGAGAGAGAGAGAGAGAGAGTGGGGGGGGGGTAGAAGGGGGCAACAATCTCTCTATCTCCCGCCCGCGACTCCAGTTTAGTTTCGGTTGTGTATGTGAAACAAGGTACGTAAATCGACTATTTCCAAGTGGCTATGCTTATTTGTGTTAAACTTATCTGGAATAATCAACAGTTCTGGATGTGAGGTTTTCTTTCTTTGGATTATTTGTATACAATTAAAATTATTAAATTCGTATTTGAATTACAATGAGTTGTAAAATGATAGATGTATAGGCCTACCTAATTTTCATCGACAGTAGTTTGTTATTTTTGCGCTATTCTTTGAATGGGTGATTTTAAATAAAATAAACTAATTGAAGTTACAACTTTCTAAACTTCCGAAAAACACTTTGGAAGTTGTAACTTTTTGCATGACTTATTCAGTCACCTGTATACTTCGACGAAGATTGGACATGTAAACATGATTTTTGTATGTTTGAGAATGTTGGATGCTTATTGTAAGTACGCGTAATGGTTTGTTATCCTATTCCATATATTTTATTTCTTGTACATAGGCCTACGTTTTAGTTAAACATGTTTTGACCGTAAACAAACATATATAGTTTATTTTAAGTGCATTTTACCAAATTATTCGAAAATGCATCAACTCATTGCAAAAACAACTAATTAAAGACTGAGTGACTGACTAAAGTGACTCTGTGAGAAGCGGTAACTTACAAGTACAAGTGCATTACTTCTCTCAACAAACTAACCTTTTACTCTAGGGCCAATGGGAATGGAATCACTATCCCAAAACATGACTAGTCAATTAATGTTTGAATTGTATTGCAATTAGGAACTAGGCTACATACAGATCACCTGCTGCAATGTGCTGTAAATTAATGACCATAGAATTAACTATTTAAATCAATCGAAATCAAAACAATTCAATTTTTGTAGTTTGTCCAAACTATAAATTGCATTCTCATTTATCAGACGTAAACATAAAGTAAAATACAAACAGTTTTCCTCTTGGAAATTACTGCCATGACAGTGTTATACAATTACCATTACCGCATATGTTATTGTGTGACGGTGACGGTAATATCGTAATAATATATCAACACCAACAGTGGCAATAGGTTTTAGTAGGTCATGCAATATCGAATCTCGAATCGCGACGACATCATGAAGAAAATTTGGTTTCTGAACCGTTACGTGGAAGTGTGGAAAATACTTGATGTGTAAATATAGTAAATGGACTAGTACTATTAAAAGTCGCTTTTACTTTAGAGTTTTTCAACCATTCAAAGAACTCTTGTGTCGTCGAAAAGTGTTTAACAGTTTTTTAATCTTTGCAACAGGAATTTAGTTTTCCACAAACAGTTGGATATATTAACCCTTTTTTCAACCAAGTTTGCAACGGAGGAAAATTTTAAAGACTCATTTGACAACAAATATTGTCAACAAAAATGTTATAAACATTGTGTTATAAACTCTGGTTTGTAACCGACATATGTACCTTTTTAAACAAATCGCCAGTTTCTTCTTTTAATACTGTGGTCATTTCCATCCGTAACGGGAGTTAGTGAAACAGAAGTTTTGGAACATGTCTTCGGGTGGAACAGAAACCTAGAGCATAAAATACTACTGCACAAATCGTACAAAGAAAAAACAGGAAACGCAGTAGCTGAAAACAACAACCTTCGATTAGTCGAATTAGAAATAAACGGTATCAGCAATCTGACTCATACTTTGTCACATTAGCTTGTCAACAACCCTTATAATGTCAATAACTTCTGAACCTTAATGTTTACAGCAAATGGGGCTGCACAGTTTCGTTTATAGCTAAAATGGTTATAACCTACTAAATTTTCATAAAAGTCGTTCGTTTTTGAACATATGATTTCGCCCTTATTTTTTGGAGTTTTTGGGAAAATCATCATTAAAAGACCAAATTTCATATGTTAAAACGCCTGGATATACAATTGATTACCCACCTACAGGTTTGGACTGTAGCTCTGTACAAATCCACACATACAGACACACCACACAGACACCACTTTGACAACCACCTTTTGGGTTCAGGGGGACCTAAAACGGATATACCGCTAACTCAAAGTCTAATACCTATGTTGACAAAAACAATACTTTCTCCATATAGCCATAGACTAGTCTATGATATAGCCTACTATGTATATTGGGGAAAGGTAAAAAGTTATACATTTTAACAATTTATACATTAACATTTTATTAACACGGTCTGCTGAAAAATATCATACTACACAACACAAGTAATTGACCAGAATAACTCTTAAGCACATCATAAATATTCAGTAATTTGACGTTGATTTATTCAAATTACAAGTTATTCAATTACCTACTAACAATGTATTTTAATTCCCGCTTTTGAAAATTGTAAATTATGTTTACACTCGGTTATGAAACGTGATATTAATTTTTAAAGACTACTTGAAATAACGTTTGGGAGGTTTTAGTTTTAACTGCACCGCATTTCACATTTAATAATTAGTACAATTATTGTAGCAATTAAAATTGTTGGTGAGCAATACAGCTGGATACGAACAACGACGGTAATTATTTTCTCTGAGTCAGAAATCAAACATTGTTATCAACGAGCCATAAATTGTATATGACTCTTCTGTGTAATTTAACTGAACCACAATGGTCCAAATAAAAACTGGCATTTTTCAACAATGTAAAATAAAGTTACAAACACCACAGATTTAAACAGAAATAAAAAAAATAGTCGAGAAATGTGTCAATTATATTGTACGTATTATTTACGAAATCACTATTTATTTACTTAGATAGTGGCTACGCGAGTGGCGTTTGTGTGGAAGAAACTCAACGCTCCCAACCCCTCATTTTTTGTAGATATGCCAGGGATCTCGCAACTCGCAACGTAGTCCAAGACGCTTAAAACTAGGCTAGAAACACCCCCTGCTTAGTAGTTTTATTATCAACACTAAATTTAAAAAAATTATAACCCATAGTGTAAAACAACAGTTTGCATTAAAAAAGAACCATCCCATTAGTCTAAGTCTCCAGGGCAGAGCGACAAATAAGGTTACTGGTTTGCAAGCGAAAGTTCACGTCTTGCCCGATTTTGTATGGAAGCTCAAATTGGAACACCCTGAGAAGCTTGGAAGCGGAAGCTAAAACGAGAGAGCGGATCTAGAGACTAGAGAATAGAGAGTTACGAAAGATAGAGAGAAGGAAGTGCTGAAGAAGGGGGAGGGGGTCGGAGTGCATGGAAAGTAGAGGTAGAGGTCACTTGATACACTACTATAATCCTCATGCTACTCAACACTCTCACCTATTCACTGAAAACGTACCTTATTAGCAAAACCTGACGTGATTATAATTTTTATGACACAATATTTTGAAAGGATCCTCAATTTCTTTACATTGAAGTATTTACCACCACTGTGAAACATATAAATCAAGTTCTATTTTACACCCAAACCATCTTTTTGGACACTTCTTCTTCTTAGATATAAAATGGCCTAACAGAATAGAAATCGATTGATCTTGTGTTTAGAGCGCTGGACATTGTCGGGACATTGTTCTGATAATGTATGTTATATTGTTGTACCGGTATCGTAATGATTTACGGCTTAACATTTTTACGTTGAAAATAAGACATGCTACTATAGGACTAGTAATTGACAAACACAAGACAACATTACACTGGCTACAGTTTGATAGTAATGGAATGTCTAATTTACGATAGTGTCTAGTCTATAGTCAAATGGCTCATCATTAATTATTTAGTCTTGTTAATGAGATCATTTGAAAAAAAACATATCAACACATACATAACTTACAACTGAAAGAATGATAAACAATTGTAACATAACCGACAGCGTCCGAAAATTATCTATCGTTGGAGGAAAACTCCAACGGAAAATTACGATCCAAAGAATCATGTGGTGTAATTCCGTCGGTAATCGGTTCACAATATGCAGTTTGCAATTTGCGGCGGGAGTTACCGCATGGAGTAACCACCATGGAGTAACCACTAGGCGTTGCTAACCGTTCTACTGCGGTTATTTACTCTATGTACCAGCTGTGACAATACTTGCTCAACCCTGTTCTATTTCTTGTTAGGTGAATGAACGGTCTATTTGTAGCATAGAATAGAAACATAGGTAATCTCTTTTAGATTTATCATACTGAAGACCATTATTAAAATGGTTCGTGGAGGGTGTTTTTTTGTTAATTGTAAAAATTGATCGTTCTCTAGTTTTACAACTATACAGTGAAGAAAAAAATCATAACATCCATATTTCGTCAACACTAGCACTCAAACGCCACTAACACAAATCACATGGAACTAGGCTTCACACTTTTCAACAGGATGTGTTTTATTAAAATTCAATGTTTATAGTTTTAGATAATTAATTAGCATATGGCTGAATTGTCATAATTGTATTGTATTAAGGAGTTTCTCTTAATTTTGGCTGTGGATAGAAGTTAAATAGACAATGATGGAACGTTTCAAGCAAATTAGGGAGTGAGTGTCGGTACAAGAATGGATAATGGATGAACTGTACATTAATACGATTTACGACATTTTTTTCAAAAGTGTAGTTCGTTAAATCGTCACGCTACCAACAAACTGATGATAAAAAAACGCCGCCAGTAAAAAATCAAACATCCGAAAGATAACCCTGAATTTGTTAATGGAATTTTCGCTATGTCGAAATAGATAATCGACCGGCTAAGACCGGGGAATCTGATGGAATCATCAAAATGCAATTAGCCATTAGTGGATGTGAAGGAGAAAGTAGATAGTGAATTTTCTCACATCCTTAGCATTGCGTAATCTCTCTCAACATTTGCCGCAGGGTAGCAAGTATCTAGTCGGCTGTGGATGCTGTAATCATTAGATTAGATTTAATTTATTCGACGCTAATACAACAGAGAGTATTTTAAGGCGAATTAAGTTGAGTGAAGAATGAGTACTTAATCAATTAAATTTTTAAATCCGTGTTAGCTCCTGGAGCAGATAGTTCTTTGACCAGGATCATGACTAGAATGCTAAATGATCAAGCACAGCTGTTTATGGTGTCGACCCATCAAAATGAGTCTGTTTGAAAAAAATATAAGGCCGCTAAACCTTCTGATTACTCAGCTTGTGCAGTAACCAATCAGCTGCTCAGCTGAAGTCTAATGAGTGAACGTGGTAGTATTAAATTCTATATCGAACTTTATAGATTTTATATTATATATTGATAGATTTACAACTAAACGTTTATAGATTGTACATCGTCATGGATTAACTGATGAAGACAATTACACTCTATCGTTCTGTCCTCAATTTAATTGTAAACATTTAGTCGAATCGACGCACCTGAAAACGCATTTGAAACGCACCTGGACATGATCCACAACTAAAGAGGAATTACGTTCCCCTAGCCTTAACCAACCATAATTTCCGTTCCGACACTAGGTACTGTACAGTGGATTATTGTATTATTATTATTGACTTTGGATAATACAATTTACAATAAAATCTTAAGCTCATTTTTAGCGAATTTCCCATATAGGGAATAAGCTATTACCGTAGTACTCGTGGTAAGACCTGGACCCGGGACCGATTTACTTTTTTGTTATGAGGTCCCTAGAGACCAAAAACACCATCCGTTTAAATTCATATATATATATATATATATATATATTTATATATATATATATTTATTTATATATATATATATATTTATATATATATATATATATTTATTTATATATATATATATATTTATATATGTGTCCGTTAGCGCGATAACTCGAGAAAAAATTATCCGATTTTGATGAAATTTGGTACAAACGTGTAATCCTACGTTTATTCGAACGAGTTCGCGATCCAGCATAATCGGACCATGGGAACGGGGGTTTATGGGGGGTTTTATGGGGTAAAAATGGGTTTTTCCCATTTTTGACCCTAAAAACAAAAGATTTTGCAATTTCTTCCTAAACCGTTTTGTAGAGCTTAAAAAAAGAAATAATTTAGTATATTGAAGCGCTGTTGTATGCCTAACGGTCACGGAGAAAATTCAAAAATAGTGTAATATAAAATTCCCATGTTATTCTTATGGAGAAAATGAAAATTGTTGTAGTTTACTTGTTTATGGTTATATATTGATAAAATTTGGCAAATTTATTTATTTCATCCTATACTATTGACGTATGGTCAAAAAACACTTTTTACCTTCCCCGTAGCAGCAAACCTAAGCACTCGTTAAATATAATGTCATTTAAATAGGGAATAAATATGTCTTATTTATGGAAATATTTTAGTAAAAATGTAATCAGACAAGTTGAAATTCGCTTAGTCTGCAGGTTTGCTGCGGCGGGGGTATTTTATGTATGTATCAGTTATGTTTATTTATAATTTACGGATGTAAACTAAATTGCTAATTTTTTAAATTTGATTAATAATGGTTTTATTTCTTAGTTTATAAACTCCCATATTTAAAATATTTTATGTAGGTAAGAACAAGGTAGTCATTGTCAAACACGTTATTATTATGTCCAGGACGTCATTATTCCTTTTAATATTGAATTTGTGATTATTTATCAAGGTGATAGAAAATAGATAAGAGACTATGTATTGTTTTTATCCTAATGCAAAATGTTAGCTTAGAAAGAAATATATCGTGAAACACATAGCCTAAATGTTGCTTGTGAAACGACATCTTGGAGTTCGTTTCTGTCTGTTATGCAGTGTGTATTATGTATTGTAATTTCAAACTTTAAAGTACCGGTACATATTTACCAAATTAAGCGATTCAATTAAAAGCCTTTGCTTTCTCTCTGGAATTACATTGTAAATAAATATTTATCTTGTTAGGCCCGTACAGTTATTAAATAACCCAAGAAGTTATATAAGATAGATTAATGTTAAGTACTTAAAAACCTATTTATTTTAAAAGCTATGTGTCAAAGTTCCATTTTACGGCTGACAACAATCACGTAGTATTGTATCTGTTTCAGATGGTTGCTGAGTCAGATTTATCTACCATCAGGAGCTGGTTGTCTAAACAGAACCACATCCCTCAGACTGTTGGTATGATCTTAGATTAAACACACTCAATGGATAGTTTATCATTATATTTTAATGAAGTCACGGCACCTCTACAGTATATTTCTGCCCGGCATATGTAGTACCAGTTTTCGTATTTATATCTTACAATTTTACCAACTTTAAAACTAATAAGTTCTTTTTGTTGTTTTTTGTTGTAACTGGTGTTTGTTTTCTGCTATTACATGATCTAGATTCCATAGGAATGCGGACACTATAAATGTTCGGACCAATGCCCGTGTTTGACTTTAACTGACTTTATTTTAAACATACACTTAAGTGGACTGTATTATCTGACTTGCTTTGGCGACTTATTTGGGGCTAGACATGAAGAACAATACATACATTTGAAACAATTGGTTTATTAAGGCTTTCACTCATCACAGTTAACATGAATTGTAGTTTACTTTTACCTAGAAATTAAGTGTACCTTTTATCTTACAGTAATATTTAACTTTATCAGATTTATTAGTTTAAATCTGGCCAGATGCATTAATTTCCCCAATACTTAAAAGTGGTTAAATGGACTTGGAGGAAGGAAGGGAAGTGGCCACATAATGTCTGTTGAATGTTACTGATGCTAATAATGTTCACTTATAATGTTGGAGTGATCTTACCCACTTTCGAAGATCTTTACATCTTTATAGGAAGTTATTAAAGAAAATAATTACTTGAAGCACTACATATTTACATTTACTTTAAACCAATACTTAGAAACTTTAACACTGCACCAAACAAAACCCTAGACATGTTGCTTGTCTGAGAACTTTTCCAGAAGAGAGAAAAGTAGATAAGATCTGAGATCACCCACTCCACCAAAGTTCAGGCTTTGCCCACCAGAGTTCAGCACCAATCAAACACAAAACACTGCATTACTTAGTTTACTCACTTTCCACCAGAGTAAGGAGATTGGAGGGAAATAAGGATGGCCCAAACATCCCCCCACCCAAAATGAATATTTTAAAACAAACACATAAAAAAATTTAAGCTTAATCTTGAAAAGGCAATAGACATAGTTTATTCACAGGACGAGTCAAGGTTCCACTAGCAGTCTTGATCTGCGCCACCCGAACGGTTCCATCTATGCCAGGATACACTTCGAGGACTCGGCCAATGGACCATGATGTTGGAGGAAGGTTCTTGGCTGGAAGAAGTATCATCTTCCCTTTTGGAATGGTAGTATCCAATTTCGGGCGGTGCATGAGGGTGTGAATGTATTCTCGAGACCATCTCTGCCAAAAATCCTGAACACTTCGGGAGATAAGCTGCCATCTCGATCGAAAATCTATGGGTTGGTTTGACAGATCCTCTTCAGGGCGACTTAAGAGTAGAGGAGCACCCACAAGAAAATGGCCTGGAGTCAAATAATCAAACCCATCGGAAGGGCTGGATGACACTGGACACAAAGGACGGGAATTCATGATAGCTTCTATTTTCGCTAATAGAGTTGAATATTCTTCAAATGTTAAGGGACGATCTCCGATTACTCGTTTGAGGTGATGTTTCATTGATTTTACTGCGGCTTCCCAGGAACCACCAAAATTCGGAGCTGATGGAGGGGTGAACTGCCAATTGATGTGACGCTCTTCACAGTAGGACTTGATTTGGTCATTACCCTGTAGTAATACATCTCTAAGTTCTTTCAGTTCCCTGGCTGCACCCACAAAGTTTGTACCTAAATCACTATACATAGTAGCTGGCACCCCTCTCCTTGAAATAAATCTGTCCAAGGATGACAAAAAGGCTGCAGTAGAGAGATCACTGACTATATCTATATAAACAGCTCGAGTACATAGACAAACAAACATAACTACCCAACATTTATAGGTTTTAGCATTTCTCCTTCTACTCTCTTTACACACAAAAGGACCCGCTAAATCTACACCAGTGTTTACAAAAGCTCTTGTCATCTTAAATCTACAGCTAGGAACATCTGACATGAGTGGTTCTAAAGGTTTAGCTCTAAACCTATAACAATTCATACACTTAAATACAATACTTCTTAAAAGATAACGTATTCCAGGAATCCAAAACTTTCTTTGAATAAGCGATTGCATTAATTGTGCTCCTCCATGTAAGGTCAACTTATGATAGTATAAGCAAATCAACTCCGCTAATCTACTCTTTCTGTGAATCAAATAAGGATGTTTCCTGGCACTTGAGACAGGAGCTTGAGCTAGGCGACCCCCCACCATTAGCAAACCCTCTTTACATTCAAAAGGAGTCAAATGTTGTACATGAGTGAAAATTTAAAAACGTACGTTTTCATGTCCCTGGCATTTTACTTCGTAGCTACTGGATTTGTAGTTTATTATTATGTGTTTTAATATTTTTTGGGATGGGGGCAACATGTTACACACATTTATTTGGTTTTAAATAGGTTCTAGGTATTTTTTTCGTATTTTTAAAGTCTCGAAATTCACGACCATGACGTGTCCCTAGGGTACATTTTCCAACTTTCACGCTGTTTTTAGACTAATTATTCATGCAGCAATATATAAAGCCATATTTTTATGTCATCAATGGTTATTAAACTTACAAAAAAGGAGCATATTATCATTTTATTGTCATTGCAAACTGACTACCATGACATAATAAGTCTGTCCCTCGATTTAGCGTCACGACCATTTGGGAAAATTTTTCAACTTTGGAGCACGACAGTGGCAAGCCTCGCGTTGATGGAGTCAGTTGGTTTTAGAGACTAGTTCGGGGTGTACGTCAGGATTGTAGTGCCGGTCGTTTCGAGTTGAAAGGAGGAATTACAAGATTAATACAGGAAAGGTTGTGTTTTTTGTAATTTTGGTGTGTCCATGACCGTACATAGTCATTCGATGAAGTAGACATGGTGTTAATTTTTGTTTATAAGATATTTCAATTGCTAGATTAACCTAGAAGTCCACTTTGTATCCTCGAACATGAGGTGCAGAGCTACCGCCAGAACAGAGCCAAATAACACGTAATTTCACGACCAAAGTTTCACGACCATCGCGGGTTTTTTCACGACCTATCCAGCCTTATGGATTATAGTGTGTTTGGTCGTGACAATAACTTTAATATAATTGTAATTTGAACAGTTTAGTTCAATTGAAACACATATTTTTATTATAACTAATAGTATAATTAAAGGATTGTTTAGAAAGATTTAGATTTTTTATAAAATTCACGACCGTACCGCTTGTCCCTGACCATCACGTTTATGATTTCTGTCATAAAAATTTCAAAAATTAAAATATCGTCATATTTCAATGTTTTATACACAAAAGAAGCACGCCTCTATGCAAACATAACGATTTTTCGGGTCTCAGGTAAGTTTTTTCGGAGTTATACAAACTTAAAAAGATATTATTGGCTTTTTTCAATTTTTTTGAGTTTTTTATTTTTTTCTAGAAAGACCAAATATACTAAAAGCTCAGTGACCTTTTTAATGTATAATGGTCATAAAAGTAAATTAGTTTATAGCAAAACATAGTTATAAAAATAATATTAACTATTTTTAATATTCATTTAAACGTCTGTTATGGTCGTGACAGGATTTTGTGTTTTTCCACTAAAGATGCTCTTTTAAAAAAAACTACCAAAGATATTGCGTTACCATGGACATTTTATGAAACTTCAAATGTTAATGAAATCCAAAAAATAATAAAAGTTTTGAAAAAAGGGGAAAAAAATTTGCAAAGTGTGTTTCCTGAAAACGTACGTTTTTAAATTTTCACTCACATATCCTTTAATAGGTTTATTACTCTTAATACTGTTAATTTCTGAGGAGTAGTATTTGCCTTGTGTGAATCTAATAAGTACCTTTAAAGAATTGCTTAGTTCTAAATGAGTGAGCTCTCCAAACCTTCTTTTATTTACACTTGCTTTAACATTAGACACAAATCGCATAACATAACCTAAAACATGTTGGACCTTTGTCAGCGAAGAACATGATTGCAATAATGATTCTATAATACAATCATTATTTTTATCGGGGATCTCCTGAGTACTACTACTACTACTACTACTGAACTACTATATTCCCTTTTTGTTTCTGGAATGTGATTAACACATTGATAATCACTACGAGGCCACTGACTAATGTCAAACTTTAGGAAGTTTGGTCCATGCCACCAAAGGTTATGATCAACTAACTGGGTAGGTAGTAACCCTCTTGAAGCAGCATCAGCTGGATTGGTTTTTCCCGGAACATGTTTCCACATAGAAGGAGGTAAAACTTCTAGAATTTCAACAACTCTGTTACATACATAGGTTTTAAGTTGATGGGGTGGTGTATGTAACCATGACAGAACCGTACTGCTATCAGTATAACAGTTTTACTTAGTTTACTCACTTTCCACCAGAGTAAGGAGATTGGAGGGAAATAAGGATGGCCCAAACAATAAAGTTTACACTAAAGTTGAAAGATACCTTAGTTGATATTAATACAATTTTTTATAAAATATAAAAAACGGGCGGCAGAAAATACAAAAGGATAAGTCCACTTACAGCATCCAAAATCTTCTTTTTACACAAATTAGCTAGCTCAGTACCTAGATTTCTTTACCATGTTACTCGAATTGCACAACAAGTTTAGCCTATAACCTAAATGAATTGCTTCTGCTTAGATTTCCTCGCATAGGTTAAGTTGCTTGTAATAATTAAATTGATGAAATAAGAAATAAAATCGAAGAATACAAAGAAGCTTATAGCTGAAGTAAATATCAAGATTACATTAAGTAAGACAGAATATTGGACTTCCTGCTTGTAGACGCACGTGATTATAATTTATGAAGGTCAAGCAACAAATTATTATCCAGGGATTCCCTGTTGTGCTGTGTATTTAAAGTAACCAGCAAACAGTAATTAATCATTAATTTATTTGTTGATAACGTTTAAATATATTTATATCTGTTCCATGAAATTAATGATTTACAATCAATGGACTAAACCTGGATGTTTTGGTACTTGACATATAGGTAACAGTGACTTAAACGGCAACCATGATTTCTTCTACTTGACGTGACATAGTAGATGCTCGATCCATAGGATATCTAGTCTATTGATGGAGATAGCAAAAGTTCCCGGAAGAAAGTTCAAGAGGTGTTTTGTCATGAATAATAGCTGAGCTCCTGCTGAATAATAGGAGCCCAGGAGCTAAAGGAAAAAATCCACTGTTTAATTTTCTTTCCGAACACACACCATCCTCGTACATATCTGGATATATATTTTACTAAATAATTTTATCACGGAATCAAAGCAAATTTTTTATTTTTCGCACCTGCAACTAATGGTTAAAGTGAAATTTTATTTTTGAAGCATCAACCTTAGCTTTTTGTCTGGTAATCAAAGGGTTGCTGATTTGATGCTGAGAACTTCAGTTCACTGTGTACTAGGGAGTAGGGCGTGAAGGATATCCATCACACAAATCTAACATAAGTTTCTGCCTTCAGATGACCTCCTACTATCGAGGTTCCTTCACGTCTGCGATGGCAGCCTACAACGCACCAAAGCAGTCATCGAGCTGTTCTTCAAGCTGAGAACAGAAGCTCCAGAGTTCTTTGCCAACAGAGATCCCACGTCACCCCGCATCCAGTCTATTTTCAACCTTATGTAAGTTTTAAATGTGATATTGGAATAGTAAAAAAAAAAAAACTGTATGTTTGACTGCATTAAAGTGAAAAAATATGTAGTTGTGAATGGTTAGTGTTTGGTATTGTAAAATTTGATGTGAAAAGTCACTCATATAATAGATTAATTTTTGGCCTGTATGTTTATATGTTTTTATATCAATAGTTTATGGTAACTATATAAAAGACTATAATATAAAAATTTTGCTAAACATTTGTGTGAGTAAAGGAGATGAGATGTTTAACTGGATTAGGATTAGCAAATACAGTTGTGAGAAGCAGACCTGTTGCTGGTTGCCAATAGTGCAATCATGAAAAATTTTATAGAAACCGGTAATGATATGGTATAACTTGTATATTTTCTTGTATATTTTTTTAACTTGTATATTCCTTGTATATTTTCTAGTTCGCACATATCATTGACTATTGGAAATTCAGTAGCGGCAACTCTTCTTAATTTTCTTAGAACACTTTTGACTCAAAACCGTTAACTAATTATGATATAAAATTTACCGTTACTCAACAGAGACCTCCTACCTCTGCCAAAACTGACCCCTGAGGGTTACCGATGTTTCCTCTACCGTCTCTCGGACACCAACCCAGACAACTTCCACTACACAGACTATGTCAAGACGTTCTTCATGGTGGGAGACACCCGTCTCAGGACAGAGAAGGAGTTGGTCGCTGGGGAGGTCCCGATCTTTGACATGACTGGGTGGTCCCTCCGTCACCTCACCCGCATACCCCTCCCCTCCCTTAGGAAGTACATGCAGTACTCCCAGGTCAGTTTTTAATATTTAGTTAGTGAAAAAATTTTTGTTTTTGTGTTATTTAAATGCAGGATACTGTACAAACATTCCCACGGACCTGGAAAGCCTGTGTTAAAAGGTTAAAAATTAGGGAAAAATTCATAAAAAGTCATAGAAATTGTTCTTACCGTTTAAACGTTCTTAGCAATATTAAAGGATAAAATGTCATAATAAAATACCTCAAGTACTGGGACATTTTTACAGCAATAGTTCTGGGAGTTACAGGGAAATCAAATTAGGAATAGTTGTGGAAACCTTGAATTGTAACTAAAATACTCGTTACAGTAGATAATTTGATGATTGTGCCTTTAAGTTTGAGTAATAAAAATGTTAGTAAAGAAAGATATACTTTTAAGTCGATGAGATTTGATAAGTGCACATGTCTAATATAAATTGCATTGGCTGATATAAATGGTGTTACTAAAGAACTTTGTATCGGAGTTATTGACTGGTCTAAAGGAACGATTGATTTGAATTAATCATTATATATATATTTTTTTTAATACAATTTGTTCGGTTAGCAACACTCATTCTTCTATATGGTTTATGCCAAGTTAATTTTGTTAAGCACTCTGTTTTTCTTCAGGAAGCACATCCTGTAAAGCTGAGACAGATTCACATAATTAATGCAGTTCCTATTCTGGACAAAGTATTGTCTTTCATCAGACCTTTCATGAAGAGTGAAGTTGCAGCTATGGTAAGTCATCTTTTTTGATAAATTAAGTTACAATGCAGCTAGTCTAACAAATAAATAAGTGTATAAGCCTTTACTAAATATAATGTATCTTGAGCTACAGTGTTAAAGTAGTCTACTTTAAAGCGGTAAGTGTTAACCAATATTTCTCTTATTTTCATGGATTGTATAGTTAAATCAAAACTGCACAACTAAACTACCGCTATAGTTCCTGTTCCTAGTGATAAAAATTATTATTTTGAAGGTTGAAACTTGATTAAAGATTTTAATATACATTTCATATAGTTTACAGCAAATTACCATAATGATTGTGCCAAACAAAATCAAATCATAGTCTACCATTAACTGAAATCTCTGAGCTAAATGTATGAGGAGAGTAGGCCTACCCAGAAATAACGAGAATTCAAAATACATATTTATTTACAAATTATTTACACTTCAATTATTGAAAGCCTTTAAAATGCCTTGTACCAACAGTTTTTCCACTGTTCAAAACAATTTTTGAAGTCATCTTGATGGCCTCCAGCTCCTCTCTCTTTTTTTTCACTTCTTCAAGGGTATCCAATCGTTGTCCTTTCATACCTCTTTTCAAGCAGGGAAATAGGAAATAATAACACAGAACTAGATCAGGTGAACAAGGTGTGAGGGGTGCCACGCCATTTATAGCCAAAAACTAGCGAACATCGAAGGCTGTGTATGCATGTGCATTGTCATGGTGGTCATAACCATAGCACCTCGACTCTCATACCAGTTATCATTTTAGACAAAACATTTGGGTCAGTACAAGCTGATGTTTTAAAGTGTGACAAGTTAACACTCGCCAATACTTTTTAATTTTGACTGTCAACCAAAGTCTTAGGAACAATCTTGACAGTAACCCATTTCATTCCCAAATTTTCTGTTAAGATTTGCTGAACCGAGCTCCAAGATAATGCACTTATCTCTGCTCATTGATAAATTTTCTGTCAACCGTCTTCAAGCACCAGATCCCAAAATTTTCCAAATTTTTGTCGTTTTTGGCAGTTGATGGATGTCCAGGACAATATTTGTTTTATTAGAAATGTCGTCATTTTTAAACAAGTAGCCTAAACCACTCAGATTTAATTTTTTCCCCATAATGCCATGTTCATGTTTCTAGTATTGTTTTTGGGATGGCAATTAAAAGTAAATGAGAACAACGTTTAGCTGTGAAGTATAGTTATCTACTTGATAAAATGCTAATTTTAAACGACACTAGAAAAATTGCACAAACAATAACCGTCACATTCAGATGAATGAAACCAGCCAGCTGAACAGCAGCAGCGGCAGCAGTACTGAATTGGCAGTGAGTTGCATTATACATGCCCAGCGGCTGAAAGGCATACTATATAAGCTCCGCCCATGGCAAACACTATTCATGTTATTTTTGGTTACCCACTCGTAAACCATGGGAAGTAATTACTAGAATTTTGTTAAGTATGATGTTGAAAACTGATGATCTAATTTACATTTTATTTTCAGATGCACGTCCATCCAGTTGGGTCAGACAGCTTGTATAAGTTTGTACCAAAAGAAATTCTTCCTGAGGAATATGGAGGACTCGCTGGACCTGCCAATGATATTAAAGGTAAGGAAAAATAAACAGTAGGCGAGTACTGTACTATGTTGATGAATCAGTACAGATCCATTCCAAAATACCAATAAAATCATATTTTCATTCATGTTTGATTTCACTTGAAGTGCTTTTTTTTCTTTCTGTTCTTTCATACTAGCATAGACGCTGACAAAAAAACATTTTTCACATTACCTAGTTAATTTGTAAGTCCATAAGTACACCAAGAAGACCCTGAGGAAGACTCAAGAATTGATAGAAGGACCAGATGGAGAAAGATTAGCCAAATTGACAGCAAAGCAAGAAGATTTGGAAAACAGGAAGAGGTGGAGGCAACTTGTTGGTGATGCCAAATACCACTTAGGGAACCATAGGAGTAAGTAAGTAAGTCCATAAGTATATCAAAGAGTTTAGATTTTAAGAGGGATATTCGCATCACTGATACTTATATTTCTCACACTATTGTCAAAGTATTAAATGTATTGATATTATTTTCAGAACGGTGGAAGAAAATGGTAGAAGCCGAAAGAGAGTGGTTTCTAAAAGACGAATGGTTGGCCACTGAAAGTAAAAGACTGGGAAAAAGCAATACAACCTCACATATGGAAGGATCATTCCGTTCTTTGACAATTGATTGAAATCAATCAAACTAAAGTATTGAATAACTGGTGCAATGTGTTTTCTTTTTATAAGGATTGATTGACTTGAGCTAGTATTATCTATTTATTTGTTGTTGAACTGATTATTTTGTTTTATAATAAATGTTTGGAAAAATTATGTGTTCTAATACACCCTCTAAAGCTTATAATTGTGGACTGTTTTATATGTATGGTTATAGGATTATAAGGATTGATAATATATTAACTTGTTGTTTATACTTTGCAATAAAACTGTACACATGTAGTACCAAGATAATTAAAGAGAAAATTCAATCAATAGTTTAAATAACCCCGTCGCAGCAAACCTGCCGACTAAGCGAATTTCCATTTCTCTGAATGATTTTCAATTGAATCTATTTACGTTTAACGAGTACCTAGGTTTGCTGCCACAAGGAAACTGAAACTAATAAAGTGTGTTTTAGTAAAATATTAATAGCTTTGTATAAAATAAATAAATTTGCCTAGTTTGATCAAAATATATCCATAAACAAACAAACTTCAACATTTTCAATATCCTCCTTAAGAATAACATAGGAATTTTAAATTTACAATTTTTTGAATTTTCTCCGTTACCAATAACCGTACAAAAACACTTTGATATACTAAATTATTTGTTTTTTTAAGCTCTTTAATATGGTCTAGAGATAAATTGGGAAATTTTGTGTTTTGGGGGTCAAAAATGAGAAAAACCAATTTTTACCCCATAAAACCCACCGGAAAACCCCGTTCCCATGGTCCGATCATGCTGGTTCGCGAGCTCATTCAAGTTTATCTTGCCTTACACCTTTAAACCAAATTTCATCAAAATCGGACAAAAATTACTCAAGTTATCGCGTTCACGGACACATATACAGTATATATATAAATCTATATATATATATATATATATATACATATATAAAAATTTGAACGAATGGTGTTTTTGGCCTCTGGGGACATCAAAATGAAAAAGTAAATCGGTCCCGGGCCTAGGTTTTACCGTGCCACCTACGGTAATAGGTAATAGCTACTTCCCTATAGGGAAATTCGCTACAGTAAAAGGCAAATAAGAAAAATTCCAAATGCGAGTTAAATCTTCATGTCATGTTGCTTTATTTCAACATTTCAACATTCACTAACCTCTGAGGAGTACTCAGTACCCCATAAAAACATAAATTACCACATAAAAACCACAAATAAATAAACTTAAAGATAAAGCTAACTAGCCAATAACATATAATTATCCATTTAAAATCAAAATAAACAGATCACAAAAAACGTTTAAGTAATAATCTCTATTGTATTTTGTGTCAAATAAAATTTTGAAAGCCAAAATAATAAAAAAATAAATGTAAATGAATTAATAGTTATTTTGTATGAACTAAAATGTTTTTAAAAGGCCACAAATTAAACTATTTTAGTCAATAGGCCTAAACTTTCTCTTTCGTACTAACTTAAAACTTTATTTACAAGTAAAAAAACCCAATAAAACATTCAAAATTCTCTATATACAAGATATGTATACAAATTATTACTATTAATTAAATTATTAAAAAAGAATAACTATCTAGGAATAATTTTATGAATCCAATAAACATATTTTATCACTGCAAGTAAAAGCGCGAACTTCCAAAAAATGTAAGTATGAAAAATTTTAACAATTCAAGTTTTTACCTATCACAAAATCTTTGCAGTATACTTATCAAACTTTCATGTTTCTGAAAAGTTTTAAAATAGAATCAAAATCTCATATCAGGTTTAAAAAGTAAATGCTTGAAGATCAAAGCCTAAAGGCGTAAATTGAGCGATTCAAAATACTGACACTTGACTCCAAGTTTACTCCGCCATCAAGCGAAGTGATGCCATGGAGTCTATTAGACGATCTAACTCCCCTCTACTAGTAGTTAGTTTTTCAGAGTTGGACTGTCGAACCTAGAAAAAAGAAGGGAGTTCAAATATCAACTAACGATGAATGAAAACAAATAATCAATTTATTATCCTAAAAGAAGAGTGGTTTCTATCTGTGATAGTTCTGGTTAAAAGTATAAACTATTGAACACAGCCATAATATAGCCCATGTTTTTAAAATCTCCTCAGGCTATGCCCTGTAGACGTCCAAAGTATAAAGCTCAAGTTTTTAGAATTAAATATTGCTTTGTCTCCATGGCAAGAAAAAGAAAACCGCTCTTTTTTTGCACTTATTTCAATCTCAGTTCATAGAAAATTCACATATGTTTCTAAAATGTATACGTTAACATTATGGTTTGTTACAACAAAAACTATTATTGATTTCAGCTAAAAAACACAAAAATAATACTTCACCTCTTCAGGGACTTTGCTCTCGTAGTCTGGCATAGCGATGGTTTGTTCCAATTTTGTGATACTTTGCCTAAGGAACTCTTCCTTCTTGCTCAACTTGCTAAGCTCTTTTGCTGGATCAATCAGACCCTAAAATATAACAAATTAAATTGAATTATATCCATAAAAATATATTACCAGATCATCAACGTAAACAAAAATTCAGTTGACAGAAACATTTTATTCAGAATGCTTGAGAATATTTATACAATGGACATCACACAAAATTTAACTAGATTATGCCTTTAGGCTGGCATAGTCTACACACATGCAGCTACAATAGCTGTCTAATATAAATTAAAGTTTCCAAAAAGCTGCCATCAAGGAGAATCAAGATAATTCAAATCTGACACTCGTGCCGTGTTCAGAACTTCCCCCACCTCTATTCTAACTGGTCCTCACCACCTAATGACGCTTAGTCTTGTCATCGTGAGCTGCTTCTGTCAAATATGAATTGCATTCTATGAATTCACTTACATGAGAATGTGAATGACATTGAAATAGCAGAACGAAGAAATATACTTGGCAATAGCATTAATATTTATCTCACTCCTTATCAGCTTCAACAAAACTAGTGATGGGCGCATCCAAGAAAATGTTGGTACACAGATAATCTTGTACATGGATACATATAGTCTTGTATATGGTCACAGGTAGTTTAAGTTTAATATACAGGGTGAATTTTAAATGAGTTCCCCCCCTACTTTTTTTTACATTTCTTAAGATATCAACTTCGGACCACGTCAGATTATTGTAGTGTAGTAAGTACTTAATTTTTACTGGATAAACATTTTTGGCCGCCATCTTGGATCCGCCATATTCGATACAAAATTTTTTTTCAAATGTAAAGGTAGGGTTGTGACCCATTGTTTCAAATTAGAATTTTACGTTGATTACACTGCCGCAATTAGTTTTAAAAAATCTTGATCCGTTCTAAAGTTATGAGGACTTTTTATAACTTTATTTTTAGCCCATTTTAACATTGTGCATTTACAAACTAAGACCATAATCTCAAAATAGTGCTAGATAAAGATAAGTATACACCACCATTCATTGTCGACCTATTATTACTTGGTTATGACGGATTAATTTTTTTTCGGCCGCCATCTTGGATCTGCCATTTTGAGATGTGATAAATTAATTTAAATATGAAGGTGGTGTTGTGACCCATCATTTTGAACTACTTTTTTATGCTGAACTCAATGCCGCAATCCGTTTTTGTTTCTCAGGCTTTCTTGATGAAATATTAAAATTATCTTACTTAAATTTCCAATATTTCAAAAAACAAATATGAAAATGCAAAACAGATTGCGGCATTAAATTCAGCATAAAAAAAAAGTCTGAAATGATGGGTCACAACACCACCTTCATATTTAAATTAATTTATCACATTTCAAAATGGCAGATCCAAGATGGCGGCCAAAAAAATACATCCGTCAGAACCAAGTGATAATAAGTCAACAATGAATGGTGGTGTATACTTATCTTTATCTAGCACTATTTTGAGATTATGGTCTTAGTTTGTAAATGCACAATGTTAAAATGGGCTAAAAATAAAGTTATAAAAAGTCCTCATAACTTTAGAACGGATCAAGAACTAACTTTAAAACTAATTGCGGCATTGTAATCAGCGTGAAATTCTAGTTTGAAACAATGGGTCACAACCCTACCTTTACATTTGAAAAAAAAAATTTTGTATCCAATATGGCGGATCCAAGATGGCGGCCAAAAATGTTTATTAAGTCAAAATGAAGTACTTACTACACTACAATGATCTGACGTGGTCCGAAGTTTATATCTTAAGAAATGTAGAAAAAAGTAGGGGGGGAACTCATTTAAAATTCACCCTGTATGGACACAGATAGTCTTGTACATGTACACAGATAGTTTTGTACATGGATATAGATAGTCTTGTATATGGACACAGATGGTCTTGTACATGGACACAGATAGTTTTGTACATGGATATAGATAGTCTTGTTACGGTCACAGGTAGTTTAGTATATGGACACAAATAGTCTTGTACATGTACACAGATAGTTTTGTACATGGAGCAGATAATCTTGTATATGGACACAGATAGTTTTTATATATGGCACAGATAGTCTTGTATATCATCACAGATAGTCACTATTAATTTGATTTTAAAATACATCACTATGACAAAACACCTGTATCTAGATAGCTGTACCTTTAGGTTGATGTGGACCTCACACTTCTCTGAGATGGTGAGGATGGCACACCCAGTAGGTGGAGTGTCGCAGAACTCCAGTCTACTGCAGTACGCGAGGGTGGTGATGGCCTGAGAGAAGCGAGATAGACTCTCCTTGACACTGGGGTCACTGCACTTTATAAAAGCTGTAACATACAGATAAAACATCAAATAAACTGGTCGGATACATAGCTGAGTCATCAACAATTGACTATTTTAAATTCATTGAGTAATTGCTAAATCGGAGATGCATTCAATTATCAAGTTATAAGAGAAACAGAGATACGTAATGGCCAAATCGGTTATCTAAAAAGCAGACATACTTTCTCAAGCTATCAAACAATCAGGGATTCATTACTAACTTAACAAAATCACTAATTTCAAATTTACTTCAATAACCTGTATATATGGTGGATTCTCAAACCAAAATTGTCAATGCACAATTTCTGGCAACCTGTAACTGACAGTTTTCTGCTATTATATGTCCTTGTCCTCATCTCTCAGTACTCTTGGAGATTTTAATCAAGAGATACAATCACGCCTTCTCTTCTAAAATGCCTGGTGGTAAAATAATTCCATCAGCTAAATTTCTAGCTCTACACTAATCTTTATTTATATTCAGCTAAAAATCTTCAAGTAAATTTGTGTCACTGTGTTGATTGATTGATTGTTATTAGTTTACCCTCAGTCTTGGTGTTCTTGGGCAGTGTGTAGTCGGAGCGTGCAGACCTGACACTGTGAATCACCTTCTGTACAAACTCCATCTCTTGCTCCAGCTCAGGGTTCCTCCAGCGGTAGATACTCTGTAACCCACAACAAACAGATAATGGGCTGAATGTTTGAAACCAAGGTGGGGAAAACGAGAGAAGATATAAGATTTCACAACGAATCTACAGTAGACTCCCTCTTATCTGGACTCCTCGGGACCGAGGCCAGTCCGGATAACGGGTTTTCAGGTTAAACCGACGTCCTCAAAAACTTGTTAAAACAAATCGTTTACTGTGATATTCCACTTAAATTTAGGAGAGCATTGTATTTAGACACGTGATCACTGGTCTCAAATATTTCCCACGAGAACAGTCGTTTTAGTACCGCCCAATTCCTGCCGATCTAGTCCGGTTAAACCAATGTGTTGATAAAAATTGTCCGGTTAAAGAGATGTCATTCCCGCCGAGTGTAGTCAGGTTAAACCGATGTCCGGTTATAAGGTGTCCGGTTATAAGGTGTCCAGATAAGAGGGAGTCTACTGTAATGGCAATGGCAATAATCCAACCGCAAAGGTGGAAGTGGAAGTGTTTCTAAAAAATCAGTGTGGGTGCCTAAAGGTAATAAAACATCTAATTTGGATGATAGATTCTCAAACAAATGAAGGTTCACTGCTGGAACTGTACCTTGGAGTTGGAACTACATGTTTCATACCTCAAATGATTACATCTCCAGGTTGAAACCTCTAGCTTCTTTATATGACACACCAGACACTTGCACAAAAAAAAAAACTCAACATTTGATACCGGTCAACCAGTCAGTCGTCACAAAACTTTCAAAGGGGTTTTATCGTATCTTTACAGGAAGAGGGTTTTATATAAATGAGGTTGGGTTCTGCAACTTTAGGTAAGATTCTGTTATCTTCAGTTATGTTAGGTTAGAACCGAACGCACCTTTCAATAGTTAGGTTGAACCACAGCTTCGTGTACATGATAAATGGGAAAGGGCACTCTTTAGTTTATGTTAGGTTTGTTCCCTAATTAAATGTAAGTCAAACAATTTATATCTGTTCATTACATGATATAAATTGACTATTTTCCTGTTTGCAATACAGTACCTTCATTTGCACAGGGACAATTCCAAGTTCTTTTTGAAAAGACCCGTTTGCTTTAGGTTTAATATGAATTGCTAGAAATCTCGCCAGAATGAAAACCTAAATACTTTGATAACCAAACATATGCAGTTACCTGTTCAGGGAAGGGTGCTACGGCTATGCTGACAGCCCGGGGGATACCCGGGGGGTGTGGCAGTCTCTGGTACAGCTCTTCTGTAATGAAGGGCATGAAGGGAGCCAGCAGTCTCAGTCCACAGTCGAGCACTCTGAACAGTGTGTGTCTGTAACAGGATCACTTGTGTATAGCAACCAAGGTCCTAGATTCAAATCCAGCCAATCACCTATGTTTTTTTGCTAAGTGGTAATGCCACGATCCTTTACTCCTAGCCTCAAGTAATGTGTAAGACAGTTCTACAGGGCTATAGCCTAGAGTCTTAGGATGTAAAGGGGTAAAAACTCTCAAACATGATACATAGAGAGTGATTAATCTGTAGATAATGCTTAGCATCAAGATTAAAATTCTTTATATGATAGTATACGTTGTTCCTGTCTCATAAATTAAGGGTCAATCTTGTCCATCTCTGGCAAAAATATCAGGGTGTGGTGGATAAAATATTTTATCCATTTCAAACAAAAAATAACCAAAAACTAACAATCAATGAAACAAAAACGGAATTGATAAGAATCACAACCACAAACTACTATAACATATGATAACTATGTAATTGTCAAGTTAAGTGTAAAAGATTATTTACCTCGCAGCTTTGACAGCATCCTCATTTCCACTCGCAAACACTGGTTTGAGGCATTCCTGAAATTGAAAAAATCACAACTTAAATGTATTTTAAAGAGACAATCAAAATACAGTATTTTTTATGTAGGGCTATAAAAAGGCTGTTTAATGATGAAATATTCATTAAGATAGATGGTTTGGAGACTCCAAATGTATCACAAAATCAGTTCACAGAGTTGAAGCCCTTTTTTCTTAAAATACACATAAAATGACAAAATGTCTATGATAGCAAATACTTAGTAAAAGATTAAGGGTTTGAATTGGAAACTGGATTATGTAAGTTATGTTCATTATGGAGCACATGTAACAAATAACCTCTTGATTAGTTGATTTATTGACTGATTGTGCACATGTGGACCACCATATCTCAAGGTGTTTCAACCAAAGTGTATGTTCCTTGCACACCATGTGCTGCTTCAGAACTGATCAAACACCAGGTACCAAACTGAAACATTCTACCTATACACTTTCTGAGACACAGATGTCTAGTGTCTTGTCTACACCTCCTTGCATCAGCTCTAACTGTCATTAGATTGTTAAGATTACCAAGACCTGTATTATGTTTGAGTCCCCTCCTGTTTAGCCTCTTCCTTAAATAACCTCTTAATTTGCTTCAAGTTTGTACAACAAGCCCAAGGCCTATATGGATGAGAAAATGCAATGTTGAGGAAAACTATGAACAAATAACCAAACATCCTTTACTGATATTTATTGCACCCACATATTGGATTTGACATACCAGGTAAATATCACAGAGATCATAAAGCCAGAGGTTGTAGCAGGCCGTGGTTGCAGACGACAATTCGTAGCGTTCAAAGGCTTTGTTGCTGATTTCCACAGCTGCTGATAGTCGACTGAGCATCCACAGGTCTGTGCTGCTCTCTGACCCAACGAGCTGGAATTGATACACTTTCCCATTAAAAATATACCAAGGTCTAGGTTGGGATGATTCCAAAGTTGTGAAATTTCAATCCCAGATGTAGTCAATGAAACAAAGTGGTGTAAAATTAACTAGACAAGTTTATTACATTATTTACAAAACAATGTTACATTCAACGTGTATGATTATATTTATTCCAATGGTATAACAAGATGAAGTTTCATGAAGTTGTTATGTCACAGTGATAGCAAGAGATGATCATGATGTTAATGTGAACGAAGAAATCAATCACTATATAAAGGCCCTGAAGTTGAATCTTGTTAAAATTAAAGTGCTCAAAACAACTAGCAAGTGTGTAAAAAATTATAATCTGGAATCATTATAGAATCCTAAGTCACAAAGTATAAAGTTGTAGTGTTTAAATAGTGTACAACTCTTAATACTATTATTATTAAAAGGTTTGGGAAACAGAACTGTCCAATATGCTCATTCCTAAAATATGAATTATTTCAAAGGTAAAGTCGTACGAGTAAAATCACATATTTTAGGTTTACAATAATCTTGATACATATAGAGAATTTAAGCTAATGGTTTCTCTTTTAAGTTAAAACACAAGAAAATTTACTTACTCTGAAGGCCTGACTCCCAGAAAGCAAATAAAAACAAACATTTATGAGTCATATCAGGTAGACAACTTAAAGCACTGGGTTTTGCTACACATGTGCTTGCTATTATGTAAGTAAAAAGAATGGTAGAAAAAACACAGAGTAGTAATGAAAACTTTTAAAAACACCAATCTAGTTGTAGATTTATCGTCTTTGGGCAACTACATGTATTTTTACATGGTCATTGCTCAAGACCATGAATCTGAGAATGGAAGTCAGTGAACACTAATACTAATCCTGATAATAACTTAAATATGAACCAACCAACAGCTTTAAAAGCAATGTACAGCACAGACATGCAAAATCATAAGAATTGGGATCTTCATGCTCCAAATTTAGTTATTATTTGAACAGAATAGTTTTGTTCTTTCAATCTTAACACTGTTCCATTAGTTTGGACAAAAAATGTGATAACTGTAGGCTACTTATAAGAAAGCTTGAGGATTTTGAAAGCAAAATAAACATGAATATACAACCGAATAGGCTATGATTAGAAAAAAATATTTTGATTTAAGGACTAGTTGATCCTTATTTTAAATCTTATTAAAAAAATCCAAAACACAGCTAAGTGTTTCTTGTTTTGTACTTTTATTTAAGACTATGATTTTAAAAAATTGTTTAAGGGATTGAACCAATAATTAATATTAAAATATTTTACAAACACAAAGGATCTTAATTCGTCGGCTTAAGCGGCGGGTGTAATCACTGAATTCTCAATCTTCCAGTAAGAACCACACCAAACCGTTTTTTTTTTTTTACCAACTTGATCCGGCTTTCACCGGGAGACCGAGAAATCGGTGAAAACATAAGATACATAAATTTGAAGCAAAAAACACAAAGCAAATGTGACAAGCAAACCAAAGCATAAGTATGCTTACCGGAAATCTCCCTCTACAAGAACCACCCCCACCTTGGCGACAAGCCCGCACATGATTGGCCCACCGCGAGAGGTGCGGCAGTCGCTGTGCGTCCCATGTACCTCGCGTTACCTCAGTGTACGCAACAATGTCCGCCTCAGACAGCTGGTGGCCGTCGAGGTAACTGTGGTTGCCGAGGTAACCGTTGAGAGCCGTCCTTACACTATCCCCACCACCACCACCCCCACACACTCCGATACGAGACAGTACAGCACTTACGTCACTACCAGCCGCTATGTCACCCGTCAGGTACGTCAGCGCGAACTTGACCGCGTTCCACAGTTTGTTGCAAAAGAAACGGTAACCCTGTACCCGGAGAATGTCCAAGTTTATGTCTCTACCTGAAAGAAAATGGAGAAATTAAAGAGTGGATAGACATAAGTAACAGGCAGACTTCCCATGTATATGGTGTAACGTGGTTATTTTTGTTGATGAATTTTTAAATACAGATTCACTACACGTTAAGGGTGTAATCTAAAACACAAGCCCAGGGTTTTAAGGATTTTTAAAGTATATCGTGCTTATAAACTCAAACAGGAAAAAGTCTACTCTTGCAGAGAGAACAAAAAACATTTTTTTGTATAGTGTATAGTGTTTAGTGTTTTTGTGTTCCTTTTGCTAGGATGGACTCTTTCCAATTCAAGTAAACCTGAATCAAATCAGTACCAGCAAATTTTATAATTTTATCCTAATCAATAGAACTATCATGCTTAAAACCTGTGACTATTCTTTAAACCAACAAAACTGGTCCTTGTCTGTCTTTAGGTTAAATTCTTATTCACAAAAAGCAAGCACAAAAATAGTGTTATTTATAAAACAGCACAAAAATATAAGTAGAATTGTTTTATTACCTGCTACCTCCTGTTTTTACACAATGTTTGAAATAAGCTAAAGCCAGGTTCAAAGGTGCTGACTTGGAAAAGAAACTTCATCATTTTGAACTGACTTAGTTTTATAAAGTACAAGCAGTATGCAAGAAATAAAAAATCTTACAAATACGTAAAAACTCACCCTGTGTCATGTACGCGCAGAGAGCAAAGCGCAAAGCATCTGTGCCACACTCAGGTATACCATTGGGATAGTCTTGTTTCTGTCCGGCACGCGCCTTCTCCACCTCTTGTGGGTCAAGGTTGCTTTCCAACAGTTGGGCATATAGCTGGTCTAGAGTCGCTCCTTGTATCACGTCCATTGGGTCGATCACATTGCCCAACGATTTACTCATCTTACGGCCGTGGGCGTCTCGAACGATCGGATGAAGAAACACCTCTCTGAACATTGGCAATTATTGACTTTCCAGAATACCATAGTTTTAAACTTCATAGAAAACAGTGGGAATTGTACATTTAAAAAATCTTCATGATATAGTAAATATTTTTTACCTCTAGGACACTGTTGATTTTTAACCACTTATAGAAAAAAACTCTAATACTTTAACTACTTTGCTTATCAGACAGCAAATTAAAATTCTCTAAAGACACTACGACCAACTGTATTTAACCAGCTGGCTATCCTCCTATTTTTAGACAAGCATTTTTGGATGGCCATTAAACTATTTGAATTTTTTTTTGTCCTTACTTGAAAGGTAGCTTGTTGAGCAATCTTTGGCCAAAGAACACCATTCTGGCAACCCAGAAGAAGATGATGTCATGTCCCGTTTCCAACAGAGATCCTGGGTAAAAGGCACGCAGCTCATCTGTCTGTGAAAAACAAAATATCTATATCTTTTACAAGACTGGCAAAGGTTGTACAGAATTCATCATTGAGCAAAAGTTCTAGATGATATGTTTAACTTATTAATTACAGAATCAAGGAATGTCAGTGACTTGGGTGATTGGGCAAAAGAACGCTCTCCCAATGGTCATAAAAAAATAATTTACTAGACTTACATCATCGGGCCAGCCAAATATGGAGAAGGGGAAGAGGCCAGAAGAAAACCACGTGTCCAGCACGTCAGCATCCTGCCTCAACTTAACCTTGTCTACGGAGACATTGAACTTGGCTGCAGCCTTTTGTAAAGCTTCCTCCTCACTGCGGCCAGTTACCCAGTAGTCGTTGTCTGTGTCCTGAAAACATTAAGTTGTAGTTACACATTGTTTCCTTACAAAGGGATGAAAAAAATTCAAATATTTATAAATTAGTTAATAGGCCTACACTGTTTATTTACTACTGGCATTTTTGAAAATTGTATAGGCCTAGCTTTTATTGGTATTTTGTCGTATCTGTAAGAATTTTTATATTTTAAGAATCAATTTTTAGCACATTCCTCTTCATTAAATTGATTGCATTGAAGCAATTTTTTAAATTAATGAGTTATCAAAAAGTCATGGGCTGTGATGGAGGCAATTTGATGTTGTTTTATTCTAAAATGTATACTACCAATGTATGTCAACACTTACATTGCCTGGTTTGACAGAAGGATCGTCAATTGTGACGAAATAAGCAGGGATACGATGTCCCCACCATAGCTGTCTGGATACACACCAGTCCCTGTGGAAAAACATTAAATAATAATGACAAGTCCTAGGTTCTCCAGAGTAATGCCAATGGGAGTTAGTATAAAGTGGCATGTCACTGACCAGTAGCTATTAAATCATTTTTGAAACTGTGCTGCAGGTATGCAATGAATTTAAGGAACGGGTTTGATTACCTGCCCAAAAAGCATGGGTTTGTACGCCTTGCCCAAAGAATTTGAATAGCACTCTTTCATCTCCTATAAAAAACGTCAATCAGTGTAAACAAAAAAGGAAATTGAATAACAAGCTAAACTTTGTTACAAATTATTTAAATATTGTCTGTGACTCAATGCCACATGTAGTAGGCTAAACTGTCTCTAAGAACAGACAAAATTTATATATAAATATACAGTAATATCAACAGTTATCAAGAGTTTTTGTATAATTTTTAATCCTATAAAGAAAGAAAACTGATTAGATATAAATACAATACCATAGTTGTTTACCATAAAGTATGACAATTCTGTGGTTGAAGCGAGTTTTAACTTTGAATATCTTAGATTGACAAAAACAAAAACCCAAGTACCTGATGTTGTCCATCCAGTGGAACCATGTCTTGGTATGATACTCGGGAATAATCTTGAGCTCTCCCGTTACAACTGCCTCTTTTGCTTTCCGAGCCATCTCATCACACTTAATGTACCTGAAAACTAGGGATGGTCAAGTCTCGAAATTTCGGGAAATTTTTGGGAAATTTTAAATCTCGTTACACGAGACGAGATTTTTTTTTGGCCGAGATTTTTATCGAGACGAGAATAAAAAAAAAAAAAAAAAGATTTAAAACGCCTGCAGAAAGTCAATGCAATACCCGCAATACAGGAGCGTGTTGTAGTTGCGTTTCCTTTGCGAAGGCGTTCTTATTTAATTAATTCTTTAAATGTAAATATTACTTTAATTATTTTAATAATATTACTTTAATAACATTTGAGAAGTTTTGTTAAATGTAAGCAGTGTGAGGAATGTTTATTACTATAAAAAGTCAAAACAAGTACCTAACTATTTTATAAAAATTAATATTGCTTTTTATGATTTATTTTATTTTAGGATAAGTTGAACTCTATCCTAACTGATATCACTATGTTTCCTATACTCTGATTATCGAAAGAATGTGCCTTGCGGAGCGGCCGTGTGACGACCGAGTTTAGCTACAAACATTCTATTTCACAAACTTGTGGAAACGTAACACAGAAGGTTAGAAATTTCTAATAAACTGTGTTCAAATAGTCAGTTAAATAAGTTTTCAGCGCATGTTTTAAATATTTTTTATCTTAGACATTAGACATTATTTATTTGCACATAACATTCTTTTAAATGTGATAACATATAGAACAGGTGCATTGTCAAAATCGAGCCTAGACTAGAAAAATACAAAGTACAAAGTAACAGGAAAAAATACCTAGCCAAATAATGTTAATACAGTACAGTAGTTAAGCAAATTAAAAACAAGAAATTAACTCAAGGGATGGTTATAAAATTCTTCTATTTTATAAAACGCACGTTCAAGGAGTCCATTTTTCAATGTTTCTTGAAACTTGTTTGAACTCATTATTTTATAATATACCGGTAGCTTATTATACATTTTTAAACCTGCATACAAAGGACTTTTTTCAAATAAGGTCAAACGGTGATTTGGTAATCTGAAAATTGTTTCGTTTCTTGTACTATAGTTGTGTGTGAATTTGAATGAATCCGGGAGGTTATTTTTTATATTGTGTATGTAGTTTAATAATTCAAATATGTATAGTCCTGTGAGTGTTTGGATTTTTAAATTTTGAAAATGTAATTTACAAGGACTTCTGGGGTGGGAATTAGTCATAATTCGGATGATTCTTTTCTGAAGTCTGAAAATAGTTTTGAAAAATATTTTCTCAGAGCCTGAAAATTAATTTGAAAATAGAAAATAGTTCTTATTCCGTTGAATTAATATTTATAGTTATATTTGTAAAAACACAAATTTGCAAAATTTTAATTCCGATTCGTGTTTTTACACATATAACTACAAATATTTATTCATCGGAATAAGATACAAAATATTTAAAACATGCTCTTAAAACGTGCTTAACTGATTATTTAAACACCGTTTATTAGAAATTTCTAACCTTCTGTGTTACGTTCCCACAAGTTTGTGAAACAGAAGGTTTATACTAAAACTCGCTCACCGCACGGCCGCTCCGCAAGGTACATTCTTTCGATAATCAGAGTATAATCGTAGGCATTTTTAATAAGTTAGGCGTGATTAGTAAAAAAATGTTATGCTGATGTTTTTTAATAAAAGATTGTAAATATTCTTGCCTATTATCATTATTTTTGTATTTAAACAGTCATCTAACAATGTTACAAAATCAGGTAAAAATTTTGAACGTGCATTTCCCGTTGTGTATGAGAAGGGAAATCCCGTCTCGATCTTGTCTCGAAAGTTTATGAGAAATAAAAAATCTCGTCTCGTCTCGTCTCGAACTAAAAATCCAATCTCGTCCATCCCTACTGAAAACCCAAATTTGGTATGTAAATATGTTATTTTTACATTGTGTCATTTCATTAAAGTATACTGTCTCTCATTTGGGCACCAGGTGAGGTCGTAGAATATATAAAAAAAACATATCTAAGCATCTCTACTTTTTTTAATAAAATAACAAAGAAGGAACTGCAACTGATATACCACTAACTCACCTTGAGAGTGTTCTTTTGTTGTGTATCTATTGGCCCTTCGACTATTATTTTCTCCGGTAAGCTAGTTGAACTCTATTCCTTTAAAAAATCCCTGTAATTGAATATTGAATATAGACGTTTGAGTATGTATTGAATATCCTCCAAAAAGCTCTGAGAAAATATTTTGCCTGAACTTCAACACATACCATTGTGACTTGATGAGAGGTTCAACAACATCCTTGGATCTACTACAGATTGGCACCACCATTGGATTATCCTTGGTTTCCCTGTAGAGTCCTTTCTCCTTCAGAGCCGCTGTCACTGCTTTCCTGGCCTCGAACCTTTTCATTCCCTGTAGCAAAGTGTGAAATGTTGTGAATCAACACTAGAGATATGCGAGCAGCTCGATTTACAAAAAAGCATAGCCTAAAAAAATGGAGTAATCGAGCACCAAGTTAAAAGGTTTAGCTGAGCTGCCTTTTTCCAAAAGCTTGGCTCAAAAGTTGAAAAAAAAAACTCTAATGGGCAATAATTTTTTTATAATATATTCAAAAATTTAGTTTCCAAGCAAACGGCTAGTATAAAATGTTTTCAGGAGTGGAGCATTGGCATTGACCCATTCCTAAAATATATTGGTACATATTTTTGTTGGAACATAGTAGCAGTAAATTTAAATTTTGTTGAGTTTATAATAATCATGATACTAGTAGGCTACTAAAGAAAATAGAATTTATATACCTTCACCAGTGGTTTTGTGTTTCTCTTTAAAGTTACAGTATACTAATATAGGTTTAAATTACCTGTTTTCTGTCAAAACGATCAGTTTAGTAGTATGATGACTACAGCTGTTTCGTGCTTAAAAAATAGCACATCTTCAGGTCTAGAATGTCTTGCTAATCCCTCATGTAGAGTTCGTCAAAAATATAAACAAATAAATAAACGGGACACACATACGGATACGACACACACGAAAATACATTTAATAAACTGGTCGACCAGACGCTGATTCACGAGACACGGCGCCGGTGGAAGGTAAGTCGCGACTGTCACGTGTCGGCAGCGTTGACCCCTACCCCTGTGTTATCCTTATCTCGCTCTTTTCTTGTCTGCTTACTGGTGATATGGATGGCGGTGTTATAAATAATGTTGGATTCAAATGACAATTTCTCGTTCAGGATGTTTTGTGGTTGACTTTTTGATGCTTTATAAATTTTGAATTCTTCAACAGTGTCCATGTAATGCCCTTTGTTGCAAAAATGTAATACTTCTAAGTTATTATGTATGTTGGTGTAATTGTGGTTGGAGGATATAAGATGGTTTGCGTAGGCTGATTTTGAGTTTTTCTTCGGTATGTGTTCTTTAAACCTTGTGGAAAATGATCTTACTGTCTGACCTATATAAAAATTAGGACAATCATCACATATCAATTTGTAAATTCCAGTTTTATTAATTTTATCAGAATCTGGTTTAGTTCTCTCAGTGATTATGTTTGAAAGTTTGTTCTTTGTTTTGAAAGATACTACGACATCTCTTTTTGCAAGTTCGTTTGTTAAGGTGTGGTTTAACACAACACCATAATCTGCACTGATGTATCTTTTGTTGCCTTGTGGTTGGTTCTTGGTTTTATTCTGTTGTTTATTAATCAGTTTATCGATTAGGGAACTGTTGTAACCATTGGCGACTGCAGTCAACGCTGCCGACACGTGACAGTCGCAACTTACCTTCCACCGGCGCCGTGTCTCGTGAATCAGCGTCTGGTCGACCAGTTTATTAAATGTATTTTCGTGTGTGTCGTATCCGTATGTGTGTCCCGTTTATTTATTTGTTTATATTTTTGACGAACTCTACATGAGGGATTAGCAAGACATTCTAGACCTGAAGATGTGCTATTTTTTAAGCACGAAACAGCTGTAGTCATCATACTACTAAACTGATCGTTTTGACAGAAAACAGGTAATTTAAACCTATATTAGTTTATTCAGACGATCTAGAGGCCATTCCATCATGAAGTTACAGTATACAAGAATGTACTTACTCTAAAGGCCTTACTCCCAGAAAGCAAAAAAAAAAAAGTCATTGAAGTCATTTTTAGTCATTGCAGTCAAATATAATATTGAAGGCACTGGGTTTTAAACTAGCTAACAGCCATTTTTAGTCATTGCAGTCAAATATAATATTGAAGGCACTGGGTTTTAAACTAGCTAACAGCCATTTTTAGTCATTGCAGGCAAATATAATATTGAAGGCACTGGGTTTTAAACTAGCTAACAGCCATTTTTAGTCATTGCAGTCAAATATAATATTGAAGGCACTGGGTTTTAAACTAGCTAACAGTCATTTTTAGTCATTGCAGTCAAATATAATATTGAAGGCACTGGGTTTTAAACTAGCTAACAGCCATTTTTAGTCATTGCAGTCAAATATAATATTGAAGGCACTGGGTTTTAAACTAGCTAACAGTCATTTTTAGTCATTGCAGTCAAATATAATATTGAAGGCACTGGGTTTTAAACTAGCTAACAGCCATTTTTAGTCATTGCAGTCAAATATAATATTAAAGGCACTGGGTTTTAAACTAGCTAACAGCCACACCTGTGTTTTGATATGGAGTGATTAAAAAGAACGGTAGAAAACACTGAATAGTAATCAGAGCTTTTTTAACCATTAATCCTGACTTAGATTTGTCTTCTTTGGGCAATGCCTAAGTCAAAATGTGTCATAGATGTGGTTGCTGAAGAAACTTGAATACAGTATCCAATCATAACTTATAACTTAATTTTAACCACCTAGAATTTTTTTACTGGTCCTAGAGATGTAAAACACTCACATTGAACTCTTTACAATCGCCGACAATCACTCCGTCCTCGTTGATGACTGTTAGGAATGGAAGGTCATGTCGCTTCCCTACCTCATAATCATTATGATCATGAGCTGGAGTGATTTTAACAGCACCTAACCAAAACAGAAAGAAAATACTTGTTAAAGGGTAGGCCAATATGTTAGGAGACAATGACATATTATTTGTTTGTATGTATGAATACAATATTTTATTTTCATTTTTGGTAATGTCAAGTGAAATCTTTTTTAACTTTGACAAAAAGTAAAAAAGTAGTATCTCAACAATACTAACTAACAAAAATTCTGTGTGAAGGCCTAGTATTAGTATTTATTCCCCCTTTTCCTTTTTTCTTAATTTACCGAAAAAATTCACAGACTTCTTACAATTTTTTGTTATTTTGCACCAAGTGTGGGGCAACCCCAAAGTGCGGAGCTCTGTGCGGCCGCACCTTTCTCACATGCCTAAGGCCAGCTCTGGCTACACTGATAGCTCTGCATCAATGCTAAAATTAATACTCCTCTGATAAGTTAAATTTAGGGATGGACGGGTCCCGAAATTTCGGGAATTTTTCGGGAAAAAAATATTCCCGATTATCGGGACGGGATAACATTTGATTCGGGAATTTTTCGGGACGGGATTTGGTCCGATCGTCGGCGATTTTGCCGCTTCGCGAGTGCCGATGACGCCGCTATTGCGAGCGATAGGTCCGCGAACGCAGGAGACGAAGTCATTTCGACGATTGCGCCGTGACCGCGATTCATGGACCGACGATCGCAACGTGACCACGAGTCATAACAACGATCGCGCCGTGACCACGAGTCATACCGACGATCACGCCGTGACCGCGAGTCATACCGACGATCGCGCCGTGACCGCGAAGTCCTACCGACGATCGCGCCGTGACCGCGAGTCATACCGACGATCACCCCGTGATTGCTGACTCATACTGACGATCGCACCGTGATCGCGAAGACATACCGACGATCATGCCGTGACCGCGGAGTCATACCGACGATTGCGCCGTGACCGCGAGTCATACCGACGATCATGTCGTGACCGCGAGTCATACCGACGATCACCCCGTGATTGCGGAGTCATACTGACGATCGCACCGTGATCGCGGAGTCATACCGACGATCATGCCGTGATCGCGGAGTCATACCGACGATCATGCCGTGACCGCGGAGTCATACCGACGATCGCGCCGTGACCGCGGAGTCATACCGACGATCATGCCGTGACCGCGAGTCATACCGACGATCACCCCGTGACCGCGGAGTCATACCGACGATCATGCCGTGACCGCGGAGTCATACCGACGATCGCGTCGTGACCGCGGGGTCATACCGACGATCATGCCGTGACCGCGAGTCATACCGACGATCACCCCGTGACCGCGAGTCATACCGACGATCACCCCGTGATTGCGGAGTCATACTGACGATCGCACCGTGATCGCGGAGTCATACCGACGATCGCACCGTGATCGCGGAGTCATACCGACGATCACCCCGTGACCGCGGAGTCATACCGACGATCACCCCGTGACCGCGGAGTCATACCGACGATCACCCCGTGACCGCGGAGTCATACCGACGATCATGCCGTGACCGCGAGTCATACCGACGATCATGCCGTGACCGCGAAGTCATACCGACGATCGCGCCGTGACCATGAGTCATACTGACGATCATGCCGTGACCGCGAGTCATCCCGACGATCACCCCGTGACCGCGGTCATTTTGACGATCGCACCGTGACCGCCAGTCATTTCGACTGTAAATTGTTACCCATTTTTTGGGTTTTTTATAGATCAGTGCCACAAACGGTAAAAATTGATTTCGTATGTCTTTTTTGGTTAACTGCAATACTCAAGACTTTCTTTCTATGCACAGAAAAAAATCCCGTCCCGTCCCGTCCCGAAAATTGGGAAGGAAATAAAAATCCCGTCCCGTCCCGTCCCGAACTAAAAATTAAATCCCGTCCATCCCTAGTTAAATTACCAGTATAACCCAGCATTACATTGAATGCTGAAATGATCAACAAACCTGTCCCAAAAGACATGTCAACAAAGTCGTCTGCTACGATGGGCAAGGTTCGGTCGCAGAAGGGATGAGTGACCTTGCGTCCATGAAGGTGAGCGTAGCGTGAGTCTTGTGGGTGAACTGCTACAGCTACGTCTCCTAACATAGTCTCTATCCTGGTAGTAGCAACTACGATCTGCAAAGTACACAGTAGGCCTACAGGTTACACAATGCGGTGTTAAAGATACAAGTAAACCATGTTGTTAAAATTACTGAGGGTATTTCTTATCCCCATAGGTAAAAATCTAATCCTGTTGAGGAGAGACTGTATCTAGCAATTATCATTTACTCGTGATGGAAAATTAATTACATAAATGAAATCCAATTATCTTGACCGACAATGAATCTTGTTAGCAAACATAGGATACCTATTGTCCTTCACCCTTTGGATAACAATTCTGAGAGGTGGTCTAAACTTGTACCCAGTAAAGAGAGAAAGCTATAGGCACTTTCCCCAATGAGCATTGTAGTGGTGTGTTATACACTGTATCTCAAATCTGCATATTCCAAAGAAAAGAATTAAATTCAAAGTTCTATTTGTTGAGTTCAATAATTGAATTTTGAAACTCAAAGTGGTTGTAGACCACCTAATAAGCCTGATAATACCTCTTCATCCGATCCCTCCACTTTGTAAGCAAACGACACAATGACACCAAACTCCACAGGCTCATTGTATCCTGGGATGTTCAACAGAGTGCGTCCTGGAATCTCCTTCTTGTCAACCTACAAACATAAATGACGATTGTTAAGTAGGTACTTATTGCGATGTAGATAATATTAAAATGACCTCTTGCAAAGGAGGGAAAATATACTAATAATAGATAAATTACAAGAGATATAAATGACACCTAAGCTGGCACTTGGCCGATCGCTACTAGCATCTAGTTCAAAAACTTCATGTGCCGTAATGCGGGTTGTGTCAACTGTATAGAAATATTTAAAAAAGTATGGAACTCCTTACATTCTAATACAGTATCTTCAGTGGCTAACTACATTTTTCTGAATGTCTAAAACAGGATATATAAGGATGAAGTTTAATAGAAGTGGTTCAGTTAATTTACATTCACTGGAGCAGCTAATCCAAAATTACAACACAACAAAAATTTTTTAGCGATCCCTGTTCACTTCATTTATGAGTTGAATGGGTTGTTTCTCCACAGCACAACATTCATACAACAAAAACATGAGGGAACTTATTCAAGAAAGATTAGGACTTAGGGCCTACCTCAATATCAGAAATAGCAGATTTCAGTGAACAAGACCAGTTGACGAGACGGTTGCTTCGGTAAATGTCACCGTCGTCATGCAGCCGGACAAACGCCTCCACGACTGCACGACACAGCTTGGGGTCCATTGTGTACGCTGCACGATCCCAATCCAGGGAACTGCCTAGCCGCCGCAACTGCTCGTAGATGTGGTCTCCTTTTCTGCGATCAATGATTTTAGGTTAAAATTGAAGGTTATGGGTATGGACAGTTAAAATAGCTTTCTACCTAAAATACAAACTTAAGGCTTATAACTCAGTTTTTTTTAACTATTCTGAAGTAGGTATAGTTTATGTTAGATAATTAATAAATGGTATCAGCAATCTGACACATAAATTCTCCCATTTGCTTAACCACCTACGGTATTTCTTATCAAACAAAACTAAAAATAACACATATATTGATGGGAAAATTTCTATGACATTATGACTTACTCCCTCTTCCAGGCCCAGACTTTGTCAATAAACTTGTCTCTGCCAAGGTCATGTCTTGTCTTCTTCTCCTCTCTCCAAAGCTTCTTCTCCACGACGACCTGAGTTGCAATGCCTGCATGGTCACATCCAGGATTCCACAGAGTTGTTCGTCCTTTCATTCTGTGCCTGTAACAACAAAGTCTATTTCTAAATTATCGATAACAAACAGTCTTCCAGTAGTTTAAACCTGTTTAAAAGGCATTTGTTTCTCGAATTCCTTTAAATTGTACTAAATATGATCCTTAAGCGTCACGCAAAACATTTGACTAATGTGCAATAAGAGATTGCCTTGCAATTAATTTATAACCAAACATGTCAAATGCAAATTTAACCTCTTTCAAGTTTTACCTAATCCAAATAGTGTTGAATTAGTTAGTTTACAAATATTGGTTCAACGATACTGTATCGTACACTCTTACCATCTAGTGATGCAATCTTCAACTGCGTTGGTGAGAGCATGCCCAAGATGTAACAGCCCTGTCACGTTGGGAGGAGGGATGACCATGACAAACGTGCCATTTGGGTTGGGCTCCAAAATACTGTTACGCTGCAACCTCATTTATCATTAACACAATTTACCCAATTAATATAATTTATTTAGCCCCACATTAAATATGTTTAAAAGTTCCAACCAATCATGGTATCCATATGTACCGTATTTAATGAAAAGATATTTTTGCTATTTTTTTTTAGGTTATAATAAAGGAGAGTTAAGACGAATTGTCTGAATTTATTGACAAATTTCACCAGTCCTTAAACTATGAGCCTCCAACAGGGACACAAAAGAAGTGTTTTACAGTAGAACCTCTTTTATCCGAACTAATTGGGACCGGGGGTTCGGATTACAGAACATATTGTTGTATTTACATAAAAATTACTAGGGAAAAGTGAAAAATGCTTTATAAAGTAAAATAAATTGTTTATTTAATACAATAGTAAACAGGGAATAAACAGTACTGTACATTACAATAGAAACAACTACGCTATGTATACCAATAAATACAGTATCCAATAAAGAACTACTGTACTGTATATAGAGTACAGCAATGAGGCGTTCGGATTAGTGGACGTTCGGATTACGAGGGTTCGGATTAAAGAGGTTCCACTGTATATAGTTTAAGTTCAAACATAGTTGAAAAAGTAAACAACTACCGTATGGTATGCGTTTTCAGAAGCTAATAATGATTACCACAAACATGTGAACTATAGCATGATCCACATATCTATGAGTATATCCAGGAAGGTCCCAGAGGGCGCACGGCCGAGAGTATTTTTTTTTATACCTAGTCTATCTAAAAATAAAAAAAAAATAAATAGTCACAGTTGATAAAAAAAACTCCAAAGCATTGTGATTCTGAAGTTCATAAGAAGAAATAATTGTTACGAAATCTAAACTATTTTTCAGAATTACGTATCAATTTCGTTTCAAAATTGGTAACGAACATTGGTTATACGGGAGTAGGCTGTAGGGATGTTGACGTTTACGAGCGCCCAAGGAGTACGCATCGTATTGCCACTGCACTGCCACTATGCTGGTTTGGGCTCGGCACTACTGATCAGAGTGATTAGGGGCGCATGCGTGCTAGACATTGTTACTACCCTTACCTCACAAAACAAAAGTTATTAACTAATCTTTTGATTAGTTTACAACAATCTGCAGGATCAAGTTAATAAGTTGTGTTGAATATTAATACAACGATGAATTTACCATTAAAATTAACCAAAAATATTAATCTCAGTTTGCATTAGAAAAATTCAATACCCTCCAAAGCACCAATAATGCTGTCATTTTCTCCTCAGACCTAAGGATCGACGGTTGGCCGGAATATTTCTCTGTTTTGCTTTGGAAATATATAACCTAGATCACAGATAATATAACCCCTACTACAGATATCTGGCTGAGGCCGCTAGGCCGCTGCGGCTGAGGGACGTGCGGGGAGGGAGGAAATAGTTACATTTTTACTCGCAAGGTGTCGTGAGCGTCCTCGGTGCGGTGCAGCGCTGTGCCGTTGCCGTGCCCGTAGCCGTAGCTTACGTTGTCTGACGTGTTGTCACGTCACTCTACTACCGCGTCAGTGCTGGAGAATATCGGTACAAACATCTAGCTTGCTCTTGCTGATAACAAGACGACAACTGAATAGAAATATTGTGTTCACTAATCTCTCTACATGACACTTCATTATGTCCTAAGTTTCAGTCTTAATTTAATTGCAATTGTCAGTCTTTGTTCCATTGCACAGCTTAGGTGGATTTAGGTTTCGCATTATTATTATTATTATTATTGGAGGTTCTTTCTTGTAATTACAGTAATTTGGTGGGCTAATGAAAAATTGGAAGGTATAATATCTGAGATAGCACGGTTGATTGTTATTCACTTAATAATTTATGTGATTGATTACATTATCTTTGAGTAGACTGACCGTCATTCGTTTTGAAATAATGCCGGTTATACTTTACAATTGCTCGGATTCGAGCAACTGGTGTACTAGTTGTTTATAATAATTTAATAAAGGTTTTTACTTTTTATGCTTACATATTAAATAGTGGAGAATTCAAACGTTGTTGAGTGCACAGTTACATTTTTACTCGCAAGGTGTCGTGAGCGTCCTCGGTGCGGTGCAGCGCTGTGCCGTTGCCGTGCCCGTAGCCGTAGCTTACGTTGTCTGACGTGTTGTCACGTCACTCTACTACCGCGTCAGTGCTGGAGAATATCGGTACAAACATCTAGCTTGCTCTTGCTGATAACAAGACGACAACTGAATAGAAATATTGTGTTCACTAATCTCTCTACATGACACTTCATTATGTCCTAAGTTTCAGTCTTAATTTAATTGCAATTGTCAGTCTTTGTTCCATTGCACAGCTTAGGTGGATTTAGGTTTCGCATTATTATTATTATTATTATTGGAGGTTCTTTCTTGTAATTACAGTAATTTGGTGGGCTAATGAAAAATTGGAAGGTATAATATCTGAGATAGCACGGTTGATTGTTATTCACTTAATAATTTATGTGATTGATTACATTATCTTTGAGTAGACTGACCGTCATTCGTTTTGAAATAATGCCGGTTATACTTTACAATTGCTCGGATTCGAGCAACTGGTGTACTAGTTGTTTATAATAATTTAATAAAGGTTTTTACTTTTTATGCTTACATATTAAATAGTGGAGAATTCAAACGTTGTTGAGTGCACAGGTGTACTGCGATTGGGGTTTAATATATTTGGACTTGTCTATATAAATAAAATTACAGTTTTGTCTGTACATTGCTTAGAATCATGCAATTTTTGGTTATTTATTATTAGCTTACGAAAAAGGTTCCCACTCATTGACGATTGATGGCACTTCAAGGACAGTTGTGTAAAGTGCAAAGTAAAAAAATCACAACTGCAGTGGGTGATCGTGGATGTTGCTTCGGATCTTGGAATATATTTCTGATTTAACTGTGATCGTAACATAGGTTTAACTTACAGATGTAGCTAAACTCGCTTTTCCAATGTGTCACTTTTGGTTTCTACTTACTTACATTTCGACAACGATATCGGTACTTTCCCTACTTAGGAAGTAAAACTACAAACGTCCAAAACCCCAGATTTGTGCGTTTTTTGTCACATTTCCTCCGAATGTTTGCTAGATATGTGTACCGATTATCGTTTACAGATTACGTAATCTTTTCAATAAGAAACCTTTGTTTGGATGAAGGTGGTTTCTTCAAACTGTCATTAATATGTTAACATTAAAAATTGCTTAAAATAATGCTATTAATGGGAAATAACTTTTATTTTCGAAAACTTAAACAAATTTTAAACCAAGGCAGATTAATAACTTCGGTACTGCACCACATCAAGTGAAAGTTTTTTTGAGCAAACCATAGTGAGTTATTAAAGCTTTACGTTGTTACCGTTACATGTTACATGTTTTGTGGCCTGTGTATTTATTTATTTATATATTTGCCAACGGATTAACACCTATAATACAGTTTGATTAGAAGGACAGTTTGAATTGGTCGTAAGTATTATAGTTATTTTCTTAAATGTAAACGTTGGTTTTTGGTAATGCAACTTTTCCTTAGAACCGGTGGTAGCAGTAGGCCTAACAATCATTTTTACGTACAAACAAATCACTATTTACAACGTTGTTTACAACTAGGCCTATAGTTATCGTTAGTGCGGCGCCTTACTTCTTATTAAATTTAATTGATGTCTTACTGTATAATTTTTGCGTTTTCTGTCTGTACTCCAAAATGTTAGTTTATGCTATGAAAATGATAAAACATTAGTGAAAGATTTTTTTAGCAAACCATCATGAATTTTTAAAGCTTGGCGTTATCAAACGTATGTTTTGTGGACTGTGTATTTATTTACTTACGGTATTTATATATTTTCCAACGGATTTACACCAATTTTACAGTTTGATTAGGCCTAAAAACTATTATCATAAAATTTGATGGCACTATCAAAACTTTCAAAAAAATATTTTGTTTGTAATTTGCTTTGGTTAAAGCGTAGCAAATCCCCTAATTCAAATCTGTATTTGTGTGTGTATGTCTGTTGGTAACGCATTAATGACCTTATTTCTCAGTGTTTCATGGAAAAGACAAGAGCACCTTTGTTAATGAAAATTTCAACCCGAATAAAGTGTGCAGAAGTGAGGTTGAGGTAGGATTTTAACTACTTTTAACCAGTGTGAAAAGTAACTTTCGATTACAGACCTACCATAGGGCTATGCGTCATAGATGTATAAAGCAATTCCTTTTATCATTAGATATAAAATATGGACAAACACGATCGGGTGACATTTAATTGCGAAGCATTAGTTTTGGCTTTGAAACTGTCAGATATTGTATTTTCGAAGGTTTATATGTATTCTTTTACAGTAATAGTTTTGCCAGCATATCTGGAAAAATGCACACTAAATATGCAAACCAACTCCTGTTCTGAATATAAGGTTTCAACTTACTACTAGATTCCCGTACGTAGAACGGGCAAACAGCTAGTCCAAAATAAAAATAGTTTTCTTTGTTGCTTTCTATGAGAATAGTGTGACACTATTTTAAATCATGACTATTACAGAATATTGTGATTTTTCTAACCTACAAAACAGTTGGTGAAAGTAAACATCTGCTTTTAATGACATTTATTTGTTAACATTGTAGTTCTAAAAGTCTGACCTTGGACTTTTTTAAACCCTTTGCGGTGGAGCTCTTTTGACGTATCTGCACCAAACTTCACATAAACTATCCTTAAATAATGCTTAATAATGCCAGAAAGTTTCATTATCAATTATCAATTATCAATTAGTTAAGATGGGGACGCCACTATGTGCGTATTTTAACCCAAATATGAGTGAAGGATGAGTGTAGGATGAGTGGCGCGATCTTGTAGTCTTGTTAGTGACTAAGGCCGACATGTTCCTTAGACACAGCTGTTAATTAATAGCCCATACAGCTAATGGCAACTAAGGGACCTACAGTTTATAGTGGAATCCGAACCACATTTTTCCTTGTAATTTACGAATTGGTCTAATTATCAGGATAGTACTGCGGA